GAGGGACAAGGTAATAGTTTTCATTGGGACAAAGAAAGAAACTGCCATGAAAAGGTGATTTTTCTAGGATTCGAATTCTTGACCTGCAAGGCAAACCATTCCATGCCCTGCATCTGCCTCCGCCCTTCCAGGTTGCCTTGGAACACGGGGAGCGGAAAACTGACCCACGCTAGATGCACACCCTGGGCGAAGCCTTGCATCTTTGACCCAGGAGTCCTGTGTCTTCCGCCAACACCCACGAAACAGGCACAGTAAGTAGCTTATTAAGCTCGGTCAAATTCCAGACTTCAGCTGTTTGGATGGAAAGGATTTAATCTTGTCATGAACTTGGGCCAGCCAGCCTTGCAGCCATGGTCAAAGGCAGTACTATAGCGGCCGCTGAGTCAGCAGGCCCCAAAACCAACATAAATGTCAGCCATGAGGGGAGAGAGCTTTGTGAGTGCTGAAAGCATCTGCGTGTGTGAATGTAAAAGTAAATGTGAGCCTTGTGTTCTGGGACAGAGCTGCTTTCTCCCTCTACACAACTGATTCATCCTTTACACCTCCAACCCCAGCTGCTTCAAGGAAAAAGCTGAGCATGTTGGGAAATGTCAGGGAAGAGGGTTCTCCTCCAGGAACCCAAGTTACATCCTCCCGAGGTCTGTGGCAGGAAGTGGTGCTGGGTGAAGCCCAAGCAAGCTCAGAGCAACCTGAAATGGGTGAGGGGCAGAGAAAGCCCTTACTGCAAGAATCCAGTACTTGACTGGGCATGGTGGTGCACACCTGTAATACCACCACTTAGCCTGAGGCTGAGGCAGGAGGATCACCATGAGTTGGAGCCCACAAGGTGTACTTTTAGATACATTGTCCTTGCTGGATTACAATAACTTTTTCTCTTTCTCTTTTTTCCTTATTGTCTGTTTTTATTTTGTACTTTATTTATATGTGGGGTTTCTCATATAAGAAAAAACTTTGATATTTAAGCTTGTGAATCTAATTTGCTTTACTTAAAATTATGGTCTCAAGGTGCACCCATTTTCCTACAAAGGACTTGTTTATCCTTCGTTAGTGCAGGACAGTACTCCATTGCGTATGAATATCACAGTTTCTTTATCCATTCATTTGTTGATGGACATATAGTGGCTCCTGGGGATCTAATTCTCTCTTATTTTCTTCCCCAAGCTGTTATTTTCCAGTGTTTGAATTCAGAATCTCAAAGAGGCTGTGGTGTTATTGCTTACAACTCCACTATTTTTCTCTTACTTGCTTTTTCCCCCCACTTGGTAGTTCATAGATTATTTTCCAAGTTCATAAGTGCACATCTATACCTTCTCTTTTTCTTTCTTCAGAAATCTTTCCCTCTTCCTTCTGCTCTGTGCCTTGGGGCACTGGTCCTGGAAACGTACATGAAGCCGCTGTCCCTTGTCCCCTGCCTTCTTGTTGGTTTGGCATAATGGGAAGCATCAGTTGGAGGAAGGAAGTAGGCTTGAGAGAACCCAGCTGTTTCCTATGGGGTCCCAAAAAGCTGACTACATTTCTCAATTGAAGACCTCCTTTTTTAAAAATTAAACATTCTCTCTACTCAACAGCTCTCTTCAAGTTCTTGGAACAAACCAGTCCCTCCCACTTACACTCAAGCAGAGAAACCCCAGGAACATGTATCCATCTTTTATAAATCTTTTTGTTCCTAAGTAAATTCTCCTGATTACCCAGCTTGAAAAATGCCATCAAATCCTGCAGGGATCCTAACTGATACCACTAGATCAAGGATTTTTTTTTTTTTTTTAAGAAAGGATTTGCCATGTAGTCTAGGCTAGCCTTGAATTTATGATCCTCCTGCCTCAGCTTCCCAGCTGCACAATTATGTTCTCTTTTTTTGTACCTGGAATTGAACTCAGGGCCTTACACTTGCCAGGCAGATGCCACTGTGTGGCTGAGCTACATCCCTGGCCCAACTATGTTCAGTATGTCTAGTTCTTCCTTCTATTTTTCTTTTTTGTAGTGCTGGGGCCAAACCCAGGTCCTTGTGCTTGCCTGTGCTCTACCACTGAGCTATAGCCTTAGACCTGGAAAATGCTATTTGGAAGCAGGGACAGATGTGTAGAAATGGGACTGGACAAGAGGGGTGTAATCTAACAGTAACAGCAGGTAGGGAAGCTTTGAAAAGCCTGTCTGTTCAGATTCTTCCTTTTTTTTTTTCAGAGTCACTTGCAGCATTTCTTTCTCTCTGGAATGGGGTAGGACCTGCTGGAATGAGAATTTTATGACCTACAACTTGGACAAAGGTAGATCAGAGAATTTCTTCATTACCAGCTTGAGACTAATGGCTGGGAAAGCTTAGTATAAGAATTCTAGTTTTATGGCTGGTTTTGGAAATAGGGACTCTAATTTCTTGTGTTTGTTGTTATTCTTTTCTTTTCTTTTTTCTTTTGTTTTCTCTTTTTTTGTACTAATGATGGAATCCAGGGCCTCATGCACACTAGGCAAACAGTCTGCCCTGGAGCCATGTACATGCCTAGCCCTGAAGGAGGTTTTTAATTTCTATGACCCACCTTGCAGAAGAGAAATTCTGCTTCCTGTGACTTCTTTTGTGGGAGAATGAGGGGTGAAAGATAGGAAGGTGGAGGTATTTAGAGTAACAGTGGTTTAGAAGTATCCAATATCCTTTTGCTCAAAGTATTCAGTATATCCAAGTACAATATTTTGGGATATTGCCTTCTGAGCCCCAACATAGGTCAAGGAGCAGAATCAAGGTGATAACATGAGAGATAAATTTCCACAAGATTTTTATTGACATAATTCAAAATATAATAATAAATTGAGCACAATTTTTTTTTTTTTTTTTTTTTTTTAGTTTTTTTGAGACAGGGTCTTGTTACATAGTTCAGGCTGGCCCTGAACTCACTATGGGGCCCACACTGTCCTCAAACTCACAGCAAGCCTCCTGCCTCAGCTTCTCAAGAGCTAAGATTGTAGGAGTTTGCCACCACACCTGGAATTGTAGTTTGAACTCAAAAAACACATCTGCTGCACGTTATGTGGAGGTCTTGCTTCTTTTACCTTTTGTCGGGTAAAAGTATATTATGGAATTTTATATTACTTGGGAGTCAAATAGTCGTTGTACTTCTTCACAGTATGAATTTCACATATAAACACCATTTTGCCTTGTAACTTTAAATTGAATTCATCAAGAAATAATATCAAGTCTGCAACAAAGACCAATTTCTAAAGGCATTTCGTGTGTTTTTTTGGGGGTGATTGTTCTAGGGTATTTGTTTTGCTTGAGGCAGAGTCTCACTATGTAGTTCAGGCTGGCCTTGAACTCACTGTGTAGCCCAGGCTGGCCTCAAACTCATGATATCCTCCTGCTTCAGCTTCCTGGCAATTTGGAGATAGTGATTGGTGGCAATTCTTCTCATGTAGAAAATGCTTAATATCAATGGTGAATTCAAAAGCAAAACAGGGCTAGAAGTATAGTTTAATGGTACAGTGCATATAAAAGGCCCTGAATTAAATCCCTAGCACCACCAAAATCAATCAACCAAACTTTTTTTTTTTTTGTGGTACTGAGGTACTATGGTACTGAGGATTGAGCCCAAGGCCTTAAGCAAGCTAGGCAAGTGCTGTACCGTTGACCTACATTCCTAGCCTCCCTATACTCTTTTCAAAATTTTTATTTTGAGACAAGTTCTTGCTAAGTTTTCCAGGCCGGCCTCAAGCTTGTGTTCCTCTTGCCTCAGACTCCTGAGTAGCTGGGGTTGCAGGCATGCACTGCCATGCCTGGTTGAACATGTAGTTTTAAACACCACAAATTCTGCACACTTTGAAGTACCTTTTTTAACCCAACATTGTCATATGATAAGTGAAAAAAATAATAAGAGAATTTAATTCTCATTACCCAGATGCACTAATATTCCACACAATAACTTGTGATCTACTTTTCATCACTCAGATTTATAAAACATTCACTTAGAAACTTCAAGTCATTTTCAGCCAGCAGTCTTTCCTGCTTTACAGGTAAATATATCAGTGCTTTCCGGGTGTGCTGGTGCACACCTGTAATCCCAGCACTCTGGGAGGCTGAGGCAGTAGGCTTGCAAATTTGAGATCTTACTGAGATCTTGTCTCAAAACTAAAAAAAAAAAAAAAAGTAAAAGGTCTCTTTCTGATACTCTGCAGATCCATTTCAGGAAGCTATTCTGTTGTTATCTCTTAGTACCTGATATGCTTCTTTCAGCCTCCAACGTCCCCGCCCCCCGGCCCCCATGGGGGACTGAACCTAGGCTTCCTCGTGTATTCTAGGCAGGTGCCCTAGCACTAAAGTATATCCCCTCCCTTTTTTATTTGTTAATTTTTGCTTTTTTTTGGGACAGTGTCTATGTATTTTTTTTGTTTTTATATTTCCATATAGGGTCTCACTAAATTGTCTGTGAGCAATCTCCTGCCTCAGCCTCCAGAGTAGCTGGGATTACAGTAGCTGGATTACCATACAGAGCTGGATCTAAGCTTCTTACTCCAAAAGGCAAATGGGGCCTTGCTTGCCACCTCGGAGTAAGAATCCAAGCCAGGTGTTGGGGTGCTATCCTTTCACAAAAGTCACTTTGTCGGAGAAAAGGGTTGGGGACCACACCTGAGACTGGGTGTGGGGCTAGGAGCAGGCGCATTTGGGGCGCCGGAAACTCCCGCTGCACTTTGCTCAGAGGCAGCCCACACGAAGAGGGGCTTTCCCGGGTCGGTTCCTCTTTTGGCCACATGATCCTTTCACCCAAGTTTACAGCGAGTGTGGGTTCTCTGCGTGCCGAACTGAGTGAGGCCGACAGCACACAAGGAGGCCGAGCAGGGCGAGAGCAAGGTCGCCGACCCGCTCCTCTCCCCCTGGCCCGCGCGATCGGGGCTGCGGACGACGCAGAGCCCACGCCAGTCCCAGAGGCCGGGGCTGGGCGGGGCTGGGCGGGGCTGGGTGGGAGGAGCTTTCCAGGCGGGGTGGGCGGTAGGAACTTGTCTAGGAGGGGAGGGCGGGGCGGGGCGGAGCCGGACGGCGGGGGCCCTAGGAGACGAGCGCCGCGTGGTGGGTAGCAGGGCCCCCTAGCGCGCGGGCCTGCGGACGCTCGGACGAACATGGTCCTTTCTTCGGAAGAAGAGATCGGGCCCTCTCTCGTGGCTGGTTCGGGCGATGAACCCGGAGCACCCACCCGGCCGGGAAGAAGGGGGCGGTCAGGCCGAGCTGTCTCTTTAAGACCGTGTTCCTGCTGACACCAGGTGAGAAACCTGGCCCCGGGTCCCGGGAGAGACTCTGAGGAGGGGTGGGGCCTTCGTGTGGTCGGGGTAGGTGGTGAGAGTGGTGTCTGGGCGTGGGATTTGGGGAAATTGTAAATGGGATCGGGGCTCCGCTTTGAGTCAACGACCCAGGTACCTTGGGAGATTTAGCAGGGCTCCTGGAGGTTTAGCAGAGCCCCTGGCTGCCTCCCGCGGCCCCGGGCTCAGCCCTTCGTGAATGTCGGTAAGCCCCGTGGCTTGTGGAGGGTTGGGGTGAAGTCGGCAGCTTCAGGCTTGGTGGTGGGTGGGGAGCCTGAGGAACCCCAGCGCCAACCCTTGGGCGGCCCTTGGGCACAGGGTTGTGCAGGCACTGTCCTGGGCAAGTGGAGCTGGCAGGTGGGGCATCCAGCAGCTCCCTGGGGACCTCAGAGAGTATGGAGTGGGCAGCACTGTGCCTCCCTGGAACCCGCAGAGCACAAGGGTGAAGCCGGGCGGTCTGAGGACCGGGGGAGCAGTCAGAACATTGTGAAGTCACAGAGGAAGTGAGATGCTGTGGCTGGTTTCTGGGGCTGCTGTCTGGGGACAGGGACTTTGTGGCCCTGACCGTCTCAGTGCTCTGTGCCTGTGGAAAGGAGCCTCTGGGATCGGATCTGGTGCCCAAAGTGGACTGACTAGTCTGGTGAGGACACCCCGCCACAAGGGTTCCTCAGTCCTTCACTGAAATGAAAACAGTTCCATGTCCATCCTCCTGAAGCCTGAATGCTACCCACCATGTGGAAGGAAAGCAGTAGTGAGACTGAGTGGCGCATCTCACGGTCTCCTTTGTCCCTGCTTCCCCAGCAGACCACTCTTGCTCTGCCCAACCCCAGCTCGGAGAGCATTCTGTTCCTCCTGAGTAGCTGGCATCCAGGACTTGGGGTATACCAGGGCTCTGGGGAGTATGCGCTACAGAGCAGATGTGTCTGGAAGATGAACCCCTGACTCCCAACTTCTTCCCTCTGCAGATGCCAAGGCCTCCATGGCTGTGATAAGCCTGCTGTTCTTGGCAGTCATGTACGTTGTTCACCACCCCCTGATGGTCAGTGACAGGATGGACCTGGACACCCTAGCCAGGAGCCGGCAGCTGGAAAAGCGACTGAGTGAGGAGATGCGGCAATTAGACATAGAGTTTGAAGAAAGGAAGCAGGCAGCTGAGCAGAAACAGAAAGCAGAGGACTTCTGGCGAGGAGACATACCCAAGGACAAGTTAGTTCTGGGGAAGAAAGACCAGGGGTGGCCGTTCCAGGCTGCTGGCCAGGAGGGGCCTCTGGGCTGGCTGCTGGGAAACCTGTGGAATGCTGGCCTCTTCTGCCTCTTTCTCATCTTTGAGCTCCTGCGGCAGAACATGCAGCATGAGCCGGCCTTTGATTCCAGCAGTGATGAGGAGGAGGAAGTCCGGGTTATACCTGTCCTGTCTTCCAACTGGCTCACTGACTTCCCTTCCCAGGAGGCCTTGGAATCCTTTTACAAACAGCATATCCAAAATGCCATCCGTGACCTCTCAGGCACCTGCGAGTTCGTGGAGGGTTTTGTGGATGACCTGATTGAAGCCTGTCGGGTGCTCAGCCGGCCAGAAGCTCACCTGCAGTTGGAGGACTGCCTGGGCATCGGGGCTGCCTTTGAAAAGTGTGGAATCCTCCACGAGACCCAGAAATTTGATGTCCTGGTGCCGATTGTCCCACCAAAGGGCACCACATTTGTCTTGGAGATGAGGGATCCGGCCCTTGGCCACCGCTGTGGCAGTGTGCTGGTGGAGTCCGAATGCATGTGCAAGCATGAGAAGCTCCTGGGGGATGTGTTGTGTCTGGTGCACCACCACAGGGACCCCTCGGCAGGCTCAGGCAAGTGTAACAGCTCCATCAAAGCGTCTTTCTGCACCGGCACCCACCTGGATGTGTGCAAGACTGTGCAGTGGTTCCGGAGCATGGTGGGCAATGCCTGGGCTCTAGTGGCCCACAAGTATGACTTTAAGCTCAGTCTCCCACCATCTGCCACCTCCTGTAAGCTCAGGCTGGACTACCGCTCGGGCCGTGTTCTCTCCATCAGGTTGGTCCTGGGGGTACAGCGGGAGGACACCTTGGTCTACCTGGTGAGTCAGGCCTCTGAGCAGGAGCGGCTCACCAGCGTGCACTGGCCGGAGTCCTTTGCAGCCTGCGAGCACTTGTTCCTGAAGCTGGTCGGACGCTTTGCCCCCGAGAACACCTGTCACCTCAAGTGCCTCCAGATTGTTTTGAGTCTCCGGGACTGCCAGAGGTTACCCAAGGGGGCGTCCCGCCCCATCCTCACCTCCTACCACTTCAAAACGGCCCTCATGCACCTGTTGCTACAGCTGCCCCTCACAGACTGGCAGCACAACATGCTTTCTCAGCGACTCCAAGACCTGCTCTGGTTCCTGGGCCGTGGTCTCCAGCAAAGATCCCTCCATCATTTCCTCATTGGTAACCCTTTCCTGCCCCTGACCATACCAATTCCCAAGACGTTTCGGAATGCTGAGCCTGTCAATCTCTTCCAGCACTTGGTCCTGAACTCCACGGCATACAGGCAGGCAGTGGAAGAGTTCCAGAACCTTCTGACCCAACTCAAAACTCTTCCCTGTGCCCCACTGGCTGGGGTATCTTAATATAAAGGCCATTTTGGAAATGAGAGAAGTTATTTCTGGTTCTTCCAGCTACAAAAGTTTATTTTTGGGGCTGGAGTTGGGCTAGGGGTTAGCTACGGAGGGCAAAAGCGCCTGCCTGGCAAGCGCAAGGTCATGAGTTCGGTTCCCGGTACCGGAGAAAAACCAAAAAAAAAAAAAAAAGTTTATTTTTCACGTATGTCAGTGGTATGTGGGACCTTCACCTTGCAGGGGGTGTGGGGGCAATGGTAGAGTAAGACACTTTAAGAAGTGGGTAAGGTGGCAGTGGGAACCTAATGAAGGGTGGGGCTGAGCTTTTCTTCTGATCTAACTTCGTGATGACCCAAAGACAGTCCAAGGAAATGGATGTAATGGGAGGATCTTGCTGCTAAGGAGCTGAGATGCTGTGAAGTTGTATTTGTGTATCCACACTGGAAGTTCAAGAGAACCAGAGAATACCTCCATTCCGGCTTACTCCTTTTTGTGAATGACTGCCAACACATTCGTTGTGAATGGTTTCTGTGTTGAACTGTTAGCTGAATTCCCATCTTTGCTGTGGCACTCCATCCCAGATACTGTGAGGCAACTTCTCCTACTTTAGGATCTAATTTTTCAGATCTTCACTGTTTTGAAAATATAACCAAGATGTTTTTCATTTTCTTACAACATTATAGCTGTTTTTATGCACCTGAGAAAAAAACTCCAGTCCTATTCAAATAATTGAGTATAATACAAATATTATAATCCAAAATAATACATTTGTTAACCTTGATTCACAAACAAATATTTATTCAGTGGTGACCTGTCCCATAGTTGAAATAATGTATTTCCTATAATTAATGAAATAGCCAATATCGGATGACCTTTCCAGTGGCTGGGCACAGCTTTATAAAGCTCCTCACCACAACAAGCTTTCTGGGGCTTCTGAGATGAACAATTAGTTTCTCAGTGAGAGCCACTTGTTAATTAAATGGAAAGCTTTAGCTACCACATGGAGCTGTGCATCTTCTGGTCTTGCCTTTGTATTCTCTTTTCAAACATGACAGAGGGATTATTTAAGTATGTTTTTGGTTTTGAAAACAGGTTATCACAATTCAGGCCCATTGCCAGGGCTGGACAGGAAGGCACTGTAAAGCATTCAACTCTAACAGTGTCCTGATTCTAGAGATACGATTGGTATATTTTCTTGAGCATCCTGAGGAGTCTTAAGAAACAGTTGTGGGTGTGGCTGTTTTGGAAATATCACTGCTGTTCCTATCTAGCACTGCCAGGAAGATCTGCTGGGGAGGAGAACCTGGCCCTGAATTTGACTTGGCTCAGTGGGGATCAGATGCTGGCTTTAGTGCTTCTGTTGGGGAATCTACAGTCCACCCCCAGAGAAATAAAAGTGTCCCAGAGGCTGACATCAGTCAATATTTGAGACTCCTGCTGCACAGTAGCTACTGTTTTCCATGTCACCTGCTGGAATCTGGCAGGTACTGCTTTCAAAGTAAGATACAATGATGGTTGGACCTATGCTGGGGGAGTTCAGTGTTTTAAAAACATTTGTATATTTTTTATTTAGAAAATCATTTGCTAGTGTTTTCCTTCCAATCAGTAACGGAGGCTGTTTTCTCTATCAGTTGGAATCTGTGCAGGAACATTCTCAGCAGAGCAACATTCTCACATACTTGTTCCCAAGAAGTTCAAGTTACCCTGACAACTCCATCCAGTACATCCTGGTCTTTCTCAATGTACCTTAAACCAGTCTGCCCTGTGGTTTCCCAGCGGCGTGGCCAGTAGCCAGGAAAGAATAATTCAGAAAGTTAAGGAACATCTAGGTCATTAATTTTCATGGTGTGTCCAGACCAAAATAAAAGGTCTTACTGGGTACAAACAGCACGCATAAGCTCTAGAAGTCTATGCAGGTAGAAAGAAGGTGTGATTTCTAGGTCTGGATGTTTCTAGTCTAAAATAAAAGAAAAAATATGAAGTTATGCGTAGGGCAGATTATTACAAAGGAGCAGTCAGGAAAGTTTGGGTGGGGCAGAAGGTGCAAGAAAGAGCACAGAGAAAAAAAAAACAAGTAGTAATGGAAAGAACAGACCTGTGGTGCTCTGGGAATACTCTAACAATTAGGGGGGAACCTCTCCAGATATTTAGGAAGCTATGCTTTATTTTGAAACAAAATCTGGCGAACTCCCAAGATGCAACAGCAGTTGTAGCAATGGGAATATTTAGTGTTCACTGAGCATTGCCAGTGGTCTGGCCACTGTTTTAACTGCTTTAGAGCTGGTAATTCATATAATACATTATAACCCACCAAGTGAATCCTTTTATCCCCTCTAATTTACATCTGATGAAACTCAGGCACATAAAAGGTATGCAACTTTCCCTGGCACAGGTAGTTAAATGGCACAGCCAGGAAATAGTACCTTCCCTAACAACTCTGCATGTGGTTTTGAGAATGAAACAACATTTAGGGGTTAAATGTGTTTTTCTTGGGCGGGGGAAGCTCTATATGTAAGATACAGAGAAGTATGTTATTGTTTGGAAATTCTAGAAGACAGAAATTGTTGGTTCTTAGCCCATCTTTAGGAGGTCAGGAATTTCCCACTGCATTCAAAAATTAAAGGCATCTGCTCAGAGGCCACAATGAATGCAAAGCCATTTCAACTACGTGCCCATTTTGTCTTAGCAGCTTGATGGTTTAAATCAGGAACTACATTATGATACTAAGCAGCTGCAGGCTAGAAAGTCAGAGCAAGTTTGATGCCAAAAGTTTGCTTGTTGAGGTAGTTTGCTCCTTTAGAATTTATAGATCTGTTCCTCACCTATATTGAGGCTCCTCCTTTGGGGAAGTAGACTCCTGTGAGGAGTACAGTGGGGGAGGGGAATGCCAGCCTAAGGGTGGGGGGAGGGCCCCACTACTTTACTTCTGTGCAGACAGAGGAATTGAGCTTCACATGCCAGTGATACCACCACCAGATCATTCAATCTTTTGGCACCCTCTGTAATCCTAGCCCCAAAACAAAGAAGGCATTCTTTGTAGGAGGTAAGAGACCTGCGTGTATTGGGTGAGCCCAGCTTGCAAGAGACACTGGTATGGAGCTGGCTCTGCCTCCCTGCACATGGAAAACCCAAGCAGTCAGCTTACAGGGGCTCCATTCTCATGACAGAACAGCCTCAAGCCTCTCCTGGGTTCCCAGCCAGTTCTTCAGGTCTCCCAGTTCAGTGCCACCGACCATCCTTTCAGCTCTGGGTGTTTAGGGTATTCATGGAATCCAGAGGATCACACCTACCCCCCCTGCTGTCCCTCAGGTGCACTCGGCACACAGAACAAGTGAGGGAAGTGACAGGGCCTCTAGCATTCACTGTGCCTATAGGTCACAGAGAGTTGAAACTGTTCCCTAATCCTAATGCAGTCCAGTGAAGGGGGTACTGCCATCCACATTTTACTAGTGGGGAACATACCCAACCCAGGATTTTTTTGGAGGAGTGGGGGATTGAATCTTGGATCCCAACCCAAGGTTTAACTTGTCTCTTCATTTTGCCCATTCACTGAATATTTAAGTACTGGCTGTGTCCCAGGCCAGCATCAGGGGCCCAGAAAACAAGGGTGAGCAAAGACAACTCTGTTCTCATAGAGCTGACTGTCTATAGCGGGGATGAACAAGAGAGTCAATGTAAAACTGCACCAAGGACAATTTCTACTGAAGCCTCCAGGAGGGAGACTAGAATGTATCAGCGAAGGCCTCCTCAGGCAGTGACAGCAAATGTAAAACTGCACCAAGGACAAGTTCTACTGAAGCCTCCAGCAAGGAGACTAGAATGTATCAGGGAAGGCCGCCTCAGGCAGTGACAGCAAATGTAAAATTGCACCAAGGACAAGTTCTACTGAAGCCTCCAGCAAGCAGACTAGAGATCACAGAAGGCCTCCCCTCAGGCAGTGACAGCAGCTGACTGGAAATAACTAGGTAACAAAGATGAAAAGGGTGGAAGAGAGTATATGTGCAGAGGCCTTGGGGTGGCACTGGACAGACACAGAGAGGCTCAGCCTGAAAGAAAGGCCAGTATTGGCTGGGCATGGTGGCACACACCTAAAATCCCTGCTCCTCAGGAGGCTGAGGTAGGAGGAATACAAGTTGGAAGCCAGCCTCAGCAACTTCGCAAGACCCTGAATCAAAATAAAATACAAAAGACTAGGGAGGCTGCTCAGTGCCAAGAGCACTTGCTTAGCACGTGCAAATCCCTGAGTTCAATCCCTAGTGGGGGTCGGGGGAGGAAAGAAAGGCCAGCATTGAAAGAGATTTCTAGGATATAAAAAAGAAGGGCCACTGAAGGGCACTGACCAAGGGGTTAGTGTGAGGGCCAAGGTACAAGAGGCTGGAGAGGCCATGGGGCCAGAGCCTGCAGGGCCTTGTACACCCTCAAGAAGTCCCCAGGACAATGGAACTTTTGAAGGGCTTTAGACTTCTGGGAGGAAGTGGTGTGGGGTCAAGTGGAAATGACAGATCAGATTTGCTCCTAAGAAAGGGCTGGAGCAGGGCAACTAGGTCATGCAGATGAAAAGAGGAGAGGCCAGCTTGAAAGAGATTTTTAGGATGCAAAAAGTCAGAAAAAGGTTTGTGTGTGAAGGGGCGGCAGGAGTCATCCAGGATGACTCTAGTGCTCACTCGGATTTGGGGGTGGGGGCTGGCGGTAGCTAGCATTTGCTGAGATGAACACTAAAGTGTTCTTTCCCGAGACCACAGTGCCTTACACCACAGATTTGAAGTTGGTCCCTGGAAGAACAAGTTCATGCAAAAACAAATAGCTTTAAAAGGGCAATACTTCCGGTTGCTAAAATGAGTGAGGGGCACTGATGATGCTGCGTGATGCTAAGTCGTCCTACAAAGAGGGCAAATGTCCTTGCACTCTGGCTGCCAATAGCACGCTGGAGGAGAAATACAACAGAACATGCTGAACGCGTGAATCATAAGAAAATAGAGGATGTTCTACGGATGCTGGGAGGGAATTGCCCTGGCCTTTCCTCGCATAATTAAAATCACTGGGCTCAGATAAAGTTGAATGGACGGGCGGTGGTCTCCCCTCACTTTTTCTACTGGGTTCCATTCCGACTTTTTTTTTTTTTTTTTTTGGTGATGGCGATTGAAGACAGGTCCTTCTGAGTGTTAAGTACCCACACCCTATACTAAGCTACACCCTCAGCCTTCCAAACTTTTTTTTGAAGGGTGTGGGTTTCCAGGAAGCTTCCCTCAAAAATCTGAATAAAAACGATGGTCTTCAAGTCTACCTCGACTCTCCTCTTTCCAGGGTCGGGTCTCTTTCTCCTCCGTCCCACACCCTGCCTGTCTCCTTCTCCTTCTGCCTCCTTAGCGTTTTGCTGCCTTCACAGCGCAGGTTTCTGCCGGGGAAACGAACCTGTTTCCTCCGTCTCCTTCCTCCCCATTAGGAAGTACATTCCACGAAAGAGGAGCCCTCGCCTGTCTGCTCCGCTAGACGTTAGGTCCCCAGCGCCCTGTTCTGGCCGTAGCGTTTGGAAGGAGGGGGTTCTCGTATTACTTCGGGGTGTCCATGGACCACACAGCCTCCAAGTCTATCACTTAGCGGGCTTCAGGGGCGTCCATTCCGCACCACTCACTTCCGCGTAGCCTAGGGCTACGCTTTCCCGGGCACCTAGGCGGTCTGCGCAGGCGCAAGGCCGGCTCCGCCCCATGACATCACGCGGCCGTTACGACGCTCTGGCGGCGCGGCGCGCGCAATTTAAATCCATCTCCGGAGACGTCGAGGACAAGATGGGACCTCCCGGTCTAGGTGAGGCCTGGCCCGCCCTGGCGCAGCGGGCGGCAGGGTCCAGTGTGGAGAGGTGCCCCGGGAGGGTACGTCGGCAGGCGGGCCTGAGCGGGGAGTGGATAAACAGCCCGCTTCTCGGCCCGCGGACCTGGGCAAAGGCGGGCGCGGGGAGGGCAGGGGAGGGCCGGGGCGCGCGCGGTCGGCCAATCAGGATGCGGCTGCGGCTGCGGCTGCGGCTGCGCGGCTGCCGGGTCAGGAGCTCCTACTAGGTTCTCTGTTAGCAAGGTGGCTTTCCTGGAGGAGATGTCGCTTTCCGGGCGGTGGAACCGTGGTTACTTCTCTATGCTTAGCACACATGCATTTATTTTTGCATTCATTCAAAAATACTGAGCGCTCCTTTTGCGCCAGACCCTAAGTAAGGAACAAAACAGATGATATTCTTACCCTCTGGGAGCCTACTGTGAGACAGGCAATTCATGAAACAGTTACAGTGATTGAGACTATCCACGAATGTTTCAAGAAGGAAGGGATAGTCAGTTATTTCAAGTCCCACACAGAGGTGAGACCTGAGAAGTGACCATAGGATTTGGCAACCTACGAAGGGTGGTTGATCGTGATAAGGTTTTTCATGAAGTGGTGAGGACGCCAGGCAGATCAGAGGGCTTGCAACGTGAGTGGGAGGTGAGGAAGTGGATCCAGGAAGTATTTTTGAACTCACTGACCATCTGTTGAATGAAAAGGAGTACAATGTCAAAGGCAGGAGAGAGAGATCAAAGAAAGAAGGCTCCGAAAATTAAGGCATGCCATGAATTCTCAAGTTTTCTTCTTAAGACAAGTTTCTCCTTCAGTGCTTCCTATTTCTGCTGAGGTCAGTTCTTCTCCTCACCCTGCAGCACCCACATCCAAATAGTCGCAGGCTGTCTCAATTTTGTTCCTAAAAATCTCTTCTTCCTTTCCATTATGTCTGTTTGTTTTGAGCTTAGGTGAGCTTTACCTTAATCACTCCTGAGCTGGTGAGAAGCCATGAGGGGACCGTGTGAGGTCCTTGTATTTATTCCTGTTTTCCCCTATTTACTCCTCTGTCACTCCCTTCACATAGGCCACCATTATGTTTTCCATGTAGCATGTTAGCACATTCGTGTAATATCTGTATTACTAAATCTGAACCAGCTAAGGTGTATGTGTGATGAGGATCAAACCTGGGGCTTGAACATGCTAGGCAGGTACTCTACACTGGCCTGGCATAGGGAGACCAGGCGAAGACCTTTACTTAAAATTTCACTAGTTAGTAAGTGATGAGCAGAGGTTAAAGCAAGGCTTTCTGATTCTTAAATCTGGAAACTTTACCTCTGGGAAGGTTCTGAGTTCCTTCATCGCTGTTCTAGGAGTATTGTTCTTGCCTTACTGTAATAGGCCATAGCCACTCACTACCATAGTCACACCTTAGATCTTGGTGTTTTTTTTTTTTTTAATTTTCTGGTTTGTTTTTGTACTGGGAATTGAACCCATGGCCTCACAAATGCATGTTAGGCAAGTGCTGTACCACTGAGCTACATCCGTAGTGCTTTTTCTAAAAGTTTATCTTGAGGCAGGGTTTGCTAAGCTGCCCAGGCTGGTGTCCAACTTGATTTTTTTTTTTTTTTTTTTTTGGGGGGTCTTTTAGAGGCAGGGTCTCACTATGCAGTTCAGGCAGGTCTTAAACTCACTTTGTAGCCCAGGCTGGCCTTGAACTCACAATGATCCTCCTGCCTCAGCCTCCTGAGTGCTGGGATTACAGGCATGTGCCACCATGCCTGGCTTTGGTTTCCAGCTTGATATCCTCCTGCCTCAGCCTCCTGTGTAGCTTGAATTACAGATGTGTGTCACCACGCTCAGTTACCCAGTTAGGATCCTGTTATTAGCAGTAGTTGCTTACTTTTTCCCCTCAATTTTTTTTTTTTTTTTTTTTTGAGACAATGTCTTGTGATGCAGTCCAGGCTGGGCTTGAACTCACTTGGTAGCCCAGACTGGCAATCCTCGCCTCAGCCTTGTCACTTCAGTTTTAAATATTTCACTTTTTAGTGCCGCCCATCTTTCCCGCTCACTTTCTCTTGTTTCCTGACTCCAGCAGTCTTGAACCAGCAGACCTACATTCTGCTTTTGCTGCCCGTCACCTTGTCTCAGGTCCTTGTTCACCTCTTCGTCTACGTTCTGTGGCTGGTTTGCGTGATCAGGATCTTTCCCCTTGCCCTCCTCTCTCTCTCTTGTACTTGCCTGACAAAAATCAGAACCCTGGATAATTCAAACTCTGCCTGCTCTACAGGCCTAGTGATGGCACCAGACCCTGAACATGCAACAGCAGTGAAGGAAAACCCCCAGGAATTCTAAGCAGTTTCAGGGGGACCCTAACCTCCCAGTGGTCATGCCCTGTTTCCTGGTTCATTTACTCTCCCACTCCTAGATGACAGTTTCACACTTTGCCTTCTCCCCTAGGCCTGGTTTTATAAAAATACACTTCTTCATAATGAAAATAAAAGCAATAGAAAGAGAATATTGAGCCAGAGATGATGGTGCACAGCTGTAATCCCAACACTTGGGAGGCTGAGGCAGGAGGATCTTGAGTCCCACCTGAGCAATTTAGCTAGCTCCTGTCTCAAAATAAAAAGTGGCTGGGGTTGTAGTTCAATGCAAAGCCCTGAGCTCAACCCCCAGTCCTGCAAAAAGGGAAAAAAAGAAACCTGGAACATTTGTAAGCCCACCTTTGTAGCTGCTGCCCTGTCTGCACCAGTGTCTGGGTATGCTGCCTTCTCTCCCATCTGTGCCCTCGACTGAGTCATCCCCTTTCCCTAATCAAGTAAGGTCAGTAACTTTTACTCCTTCTTTTGCATGATCCCTGTGGTAGGCTGAATAACATCCCCTGTGTCTCAACCTGTGAGTATGTTCACATCAGTGATGAAAGGGACTTTGCAGATGTGATGAGGCTGAGGGTCTTGAGATGAGGAGATGGCCCTGGTCATCCCAGTGGTCTCAGAATGGGTGGGAAAGTCAGTCCGGAAGATGTGACGATAGAGGCAAGCGGTGAGATGATTGAAGGGAGGGACCAGAGCCAAGAAGTAGGAAGCTTTTTGGAAAAGAAGGCAGCAGATTCTTCCTGAAAAGAACACCCCACTGCTGGCATTGTGATTTTAGACTTCTGACCTCCAGACCTCCAGAGAGAGTACATGTGTGTAGTTTCAAACTGCTAATCTTGTGATTAGCTGGCAGTGGTAGAAAACTAATTCCATCTCTGCTTCATTCTCTTTACTGTGCTTGTTTGTTGTGTTTTGCTTGTTAACAGTTGCATTCTTGGTCTCTGTCTCCTCCTTTTTACAGCAAAGTCCTTGGAAACCTTTTCTGCATTTACAGCCTCCAGTTTCTCTCCTCCCGTCCTCCTCAATCCACTCCAGTTTGGCTTTCTCCCCTGCTGTGTCGGGAACACCGCTCATGTCATCTCTAGTCACCTAGGTCGCGGCTGCACACTCAGTTCTCAGTCCTTATCTGATTTGATCTGTCAGCTGCAGGTGACAGTTAATTACTCCTGCCTTACCCGCAGCAGTTTCATCACCTGCTCCCCACCCCCATGGAACCCGAGGCCTTGCTCTGAACTACAACCTCAGCCCCCTTTTTAATTAGTTGATTAATTTATCTTGAGATGGTCTCACTAAATTAGTCACCCACTCAGGGGGCCCCAGGGAGATTTTCGCAGGTGAGATCCCAAGGTTAAAGCATACATGTGTGCAAGACATCAGCAACAGCAGGCAGCATGGAGCAGAGCAGATAGCCAGAGCGAGAGCTGCCCGCATCTTGATTGTATAATTCTTATACAGGTTGTTATCTCATATTTACGTTCTTATGTAATGCTATAACCGGCGCATGCGTGTTTACCTGTGCTAAGTCATGGTTACATAACTGTATCCCGCTGTGCACCTGCACTAGACAAGGGGGGTTATGTCCACAGGTGTTCTTAGATGCCCCTGAGCTTTGAAGCGATCTGAGTGGTTCCCCACAGTCACCAAGTTGTTCAGACTGGGCTTAAATTTAGAACTTTCTGCCTCAGTCCCCCAGTGCTGTGATTACAGGTGTGCACCACCACGCGTGGCCCACTGGGGTTTAGAATGCCACGTCCTCCTGGTTTTCTCCCACCTTCCTCATCTCTTTTGCTCTTTCTGCTTTCTTCCTGCTGGTTCCACTTTGAAAGTGTCGCTGGATTGCCTTCAGCTTCCACACTCTTTGTCTTTACTTGGGAGCTCACCCAGTGTTAGGGTTTTAAATATGCCTTGTGCAGTCGCTCCTGAACTTGTTATCTAGCTTGACTCCCCTGAGTTCTAGAATTAAATCCCCTTATCCTTCAATTAGGAAGCATTCCAGGCCTAGAGCCTCTGCGCCCCGCAGATGTGCTCCTCCTAGGGCCTCCCGTCTCAGCCCCTGGCAGTTCCTTCCTTAGGTGGGGGGTGACCCTGGAGCTAGCCCCATCTTCATGCTGCACATCTGACACAGCAGGAAGTCATGCTGTTCTGTCTGGAGACCGTGTGGGTCTGGACATTTCTTCCTTCCTGCATGGTAGCTTTGGTCCAAATCACCATCATCTGCTGTCCTAGTTACTGGCAGTCACCTTCCTGCTCGTCTGTTCGTGTCCCCTTTGCAGGCTGTTCTCAGCACAACGGCACAGCACCCTCTGAAAGCATGAGTTAGGTTGCTTTATTCCTCTCCCGTCAGCGTCCAGTCATTCCCTTCCCGCTCTGAGTGGGAGGCGGACTCTGCACCCGCTCACGTGTGAGCCTCCTTTGCCCCACGCTTGTCCTCCCGTGTCCTGACTGGTGTTCCTGCTCCACCCAGCCTTGCAGTCCCTGTGCTGACACATCACCTCTTGATGTGCCCCCACACGTGCTGGCGTGTTCCCCCTTTGCACTCACTGTGCCCTCTGCTTCCGGTGGGTCCCCTGGGTATCTGATGCTCCCTTTCTGGTGAGCCCTTCCTGACCACTGTGCTTAAGATGACCGCCCCCTGCATTCCCCAGCCTCCTGAGCCCCTTCCACTGTTCTTTTCTCCCTAATGTTTATGTCCATCTCACATGCCATACATTTTCTAACTTCTTATGAAAATGTTCAAATATACAGGAAAATGGAGAGACCAAGACATAAACAGCCCATACGCATATCCAGTAGTCATTAACATTTTGCCATCTTTTTCACCAAAGCAATTGAAAGTAAGTTGCACACATCCTTCACCCCTAAATTGTTTCTCATGCGTCTCCTGACAGTAAGGACCTTCTTCATAGTGACAGTATGACCATCACACCCGAGACAGTAAAGATCAATTCCTTAATGTTACCTGGTGTCTAGACTATGTTGCAAAATTTCTTAATTACCTTAAAATATCACTTACAGTTGATTTTTTTTTAAACAAGGACTGGCTAAAAGCACATAATATGTTTTTCATTTATAAGACTTTGTTTTCCTTTAACCCAGAAGATTCTGCTATGTACATGCACGTGTGTGTATGTGTGGTTGTGTATATGCATGTATGTGTATGTAGTGCTGGGGATGGAACACACGGCCTTGCCATGCTAGGCAAAAAGAGCTCTAGTACCGAACTAGATCTCCAACCCTTTGAAAAATGTTTTTCTTTTGAATCTGGTCTCTCTAAGTTGGCTAGGCTGGTCTTGAAGTTGCAGTCCTCCTCCGACAACATCCACACTGACTTTTTGAGAGAGCCTGAGCCAGCTGTCTTATGTTATAGTCCCCATTTTACTTTTATTTTGAGACAGGGTCTCACTGTGTAGTGCAGGCTGGCCTTGAACTTGTTTATGTAGCCCAGGCTGGCCTCAAACTCTGTTTGAGTCCTCCTACCTCAGCCTCCCGAGTGCTGGGATTACAAGTGTGCACCACCATACCTGACCCCCATTCTAAATTTGTCTAGATCTCTCTTTATGATATTATTCAACTTGTTCTTCTACTCCTTGTATTCTTCCCAAGTTGGAAGTTAGAGCTAAAGTGTTGGTTAAATTTAGGTTAAGTACGTTTGGCCAAAATATTTCCTGGACAGGGCTATGAATTTCATATTGTATCACACTGGGAGATGAGTAAGCTTCAGGGTGTTTCAATTTTAGTGAGGCTGCTTTTGGCTACTTGGTTAGTGTGGTGGCTGCTAGATCTTCCACTGTAGAAGACCTTTTTTTCCTTCTCAATTAGCAAGTAATCTGTGGGTGGTTCTTTGGAACATTCTTTTTTTTTTTTTTTTTGCATCTTCACAGTGTTTATTCTGTGTTTCTCTGCCAAGACACAGGAGAGCTGGGGTTAGAACCCAGCCTGACTGACACTAGCAAACTTCACCCTTACTCAGCACCTATATCTTCCTTGCCTGGAATTGTGGGTAATGGGGGTCTGTGTCCTGTTGACGTATGAGCTCAGCAGAGGCAACAACTTTGCTGCCACAGCCTACACTTCCTCCTGTGGTGCTGGAGGTGGGAACCAGGGCCTCACACATGGTAGGTGGGTGCTGTACCCCTAGGCTACACCCCCAGTCCTGTCTTATGCTTCTTTATTTTTTATTTTTTTGTCTTTTTGAGAGAGGGTCTCACTATGCAGTTCAGGCTGGCCTTGGGCTCACTTTGTATCCCAAGTGCCGGGATTACAGGTGTGCGACACCATGCCTGGCTTATCCTTTACAATGCTTGGATTCATAATAGTTGATATTTGTTCTGTCACTGCCCTTCTCCCCTCAAAAAACATGAACTCTAGAGGTTTTACCATTGGGTGTGAGAGTTGAGGGTCCTGGGGGACTGTGCAGTGAGCCTCCAGCCTGAGATACCTCCAAGTCCTCTTAGAAACAGGAAATGTTCTGTTGAAGGTTTCTGGAGCACATGTTTTGTTCTATCACTGCCAGCCACAATGAGCAAGTCGTCTTCAGAGAGCCGTGGACACCCCCATGGCGCCAGCTCCCCTTCGGAACGGATGTTCTCGGCACCCTTGCCCCGGAAGGCCCCTCTGAATACCCCTGGCACCCCGGTCCTTGAGGACTTTCCCCAGAATGATGATGAGAAGGAGCGGTTACAGCGGAGGCGCTCCAGGGTCTTCGACCTGCAGTTCAGCACGGACTCACCTCACCTCCTAGCCTCCCCCTCCAGCAGGTGACTGGGCTTTGGGGCTGCTCTCTTCCGGGTGGCCACCTTGAGTGGGCTGCACGGGGCTGGGCATTTCCACAGTGCCTTGTGGATTTTGGGTCTGGGTTTTAAAAAGGTACATATCGTGGGTCATTGTTAAGCTTTTTGATGTTGTTATCCATTTAGGAGTGTTGATGTTTCAGCTACAATTCCCAAGTTTACAAACACACAGATTACAGAGCATTACTCCACCTGTATCAAGCTGTCCACTGAAAATGTGAGTATTTGCTGGGTTGTCACTGCAGATTTTGCATCTTGATCGTGAGGAAACCTAGCTTTCTTGCTTTTTATTTTTTTAAATTTTTTGTCTTTTTGAGGCAGGTTTTCACTATGCAGTTCAGACTGGCCTTGAACTCACTTTGTAGCCCAGGCTGGCCTCAAACTCGTAGCAATCCTCCTGCCTCAGCCTCCCAAGTGCTGGGATTGGGCTGGGGATGTAGCTCAGCAGCACAGTGCCTGCCTGGCAAGTATAAGGCTCTGAGTTCAATTCCCGGCACCAAAAAAAAAAAAAGAACCAAGTGCTAGGATTACCGGCATGCATCACCAGCCCCGGTCTGGCTTTCTTGAATCTGTGGAAAATGTGTGAAAATTATTGTATTCTCCAGTGTTGCTTCCTGGTGCTGGTGTCCTTCAGGATGGGTCTGACCTTCGGTGCTCCTCTGTGCAGGTGGCCTGCTGCCTGCCGTGTGTCTAGAGAAGAGTGTGGCCCGGGGTTCGTGTGTGTTCTGGACCAGCCTGAGTGGAGCCCTGTCTCCTGTCTCTGCCATTTAGAAGCTGTGTGACTGATAAGTCAGCAGTTGTTCTGTGCACCCCACCCCCACCCCTTTGGTGTTTTAAAACAGGGTCTTGCTGTGTAGTTCAGACTGGCCTTGAACTCACTATGTAGCCCAGGCTGCCCTCACTCAAGGCCATCCTCCTGCTTCCGCCTCCTGATGTTGGGTTATAGATGTATACCATGAACACCCACATTCCCCCTCTTAAGTGAGAATGAGGGCAGTGCCTGCCCTGTAGAGCTTTTCTGTGCATGATTCTTAACTTGAGGAGGAGGAGGTTGGTGTACATGTGGTTGTGTTGTCAGGTGTTCATGAAAACTGAGATCGGGGCAGGAAGTGAACAGCCTGTATAAAAACTTCATTTCCTCTATTCAGAGAAGTGGTATTCACATGACCTGAGGCTCTGAATAATAAACCTTGCTGCAATTTTCTGTTTCCAGAAAATCACTACCAAGAATGCTTTCGGCTTGCACTTGATTGATTTTATGTCAGAGATCCTTAAACAGAAGGACACCGAACCAACCAACTTTAAAGTAAGAAGGATGTGTACTTCCTTTTATATCTGATTAATGTTACTTCTGAATTCAGCAAAGACTTGAGAACCTTCCAGATGAGACATTATAGTAGCTACTTTGTTTCCTCAGTGGATGAATCGCAGAGATGACAGATGTTGTGTTTACTCCCCACTGGTCTCTGTCATTTTTCTTGGGACATTTAATGTTTCATGAAACTTGCTAGTTTTGCCTATTGCAAAGTGCTTTCCTCTGCCTCTTCATGAATTTAGATCTGCTGGTTTGACTAGGTAGCTGCTGGTACCCTGGACGCCAGCACCAAAATCTATGCTGTGCGTGTAGATGTCGTCCATGCTGATGCGTACAGAGTCCTGGGAGGGCTTGGCAAAGACGCCCCATCTCTGGAAGAAGCGGAGGACCCTGGTGCAGGTGTGTGTGCTGGGATCCAGATTTAAGGCTTCTTTAGGGTGAATTATGCGGGTGATATATTGGAGTGAAGTCACAAGAAATCAGTTATTTTATGGAAGATACAGGCACTTGCACAATTATTTGTCAGTATCTCTTCTCAGTGCTATTTCTTATAGACCTTTGGTGTTGCTCCTCTGTAAGGTGATCTAGTTTGGCAACACAAGTTATTTTTCTTTGAAAAAGACTACCTTATAAAAGCATTTAGATTTTGTTTAGGTGGGCTGGGCATGGTGGTACATGTCTCTAATCCCAGCACTCAGGAGGCTGAGGCAGGAGGATCCTTGCGAGTTCGAGACCAGCCTGGGCTACAAAGTAAGCACAAGGCCAGCCTGAACTGCACAGCGAGACCTTGTCTCAAAAAGACCAAAAAATAAATAAATAAGTAAAAAATAAAAGCCAATTACTTACTCTAGTAACTCAGTTTTCCCATAAGCTGAGGATTAGGGAGGGCTTGTTGCTTTGAATGAGTTTCATTTGTTTAAATTATGACCACTCTTGAGGGTTTTGAGGAACTTGAATTAGTCCAGTAACATGCTTCAAAGCAGTCCCTGTAGTACACAGTCTCATTCCTTCTTTTAGATGGAAGCGCTGCTGAACCAGGAACAACCAAAAAGGCTCCAAAGCCAAAGAAGAAGCATTCCTACAAAACCATTGAGCAGAATATAAACAACCTCAATGTCTCCGAAGCAGACCGAAAGTGTGAGGTGAGGCAGTCTCCCCACAGCGTGGGCTCTTACTCACTCAGAACCTCGGGCTGGGACTGGCAGGGCTAAGCCTGCCTACTGGTCTGGGCTCGCTGAAGCCTCAGGCAGTAAAATATTTAGCTGGTATCTGCATCATCCCGAGCTTCATAATGAGGTCTGAAGGTGGTAAATAGATCTCTTTCAGAGTACTGGGGTCAAAAGAGATTGCAGATTGGGCGTGGTGGTGCATGCCTCTAATCCCAGCGCTCAGGAAGCTGAGATGGGAGGACTGCTGAGAGTTCAAGGCCAGTCTGGGCTACATAGTGAGTTCAGGACCAGCCTGAACTGCATAGCAAGGCCCTATCTCAGACAAACAAACAGATTGCAAATTACTGAGGAATCTGGTTAGGAATTTTAGTTTTGTTTCCAAGTACACACTACAATGCTGAGGATAGTTAACATTTGCTGCACATGTAACAGTTGCCACATGCTTCCCTAAGCCCATAACCATCTCGTCTTCCTTGTTACATCTAGTGAGGGGTAACTGAAGTACAGCTGCTGAGTAATGTACCCAGGAGGCACATCTAGGGAGTGAACTAGGATTTTAAGACGAGTGGCCTTACTCTCTAGCAAATCCTAAGGAACCTGCTTCAAGAAATAGTCCTAGACTTTAAACACCAATAAAGCTAATGGTGTTGCTCCACATGTTTTTCCCCCAAATTTTGTTAATAAAACATTTTTTAAGGGGTGAGACTGTAGCCTACCATGTGGAAGTACCCCGACGTCCTGGAAGTCCCCTGTGTGAATGTCTTTGGTGGCGCCATCGTGGCTGCCTCAATGTGCTGAATGGATTTAAAACATTTGCCTTCATGGTCACTTTGACTTAGAGAAAGAACCAGAAGTTGCACGGTGCAAGGTCTGGAGAATAAGTGGATGAGGACACACTGATGTTTCTATGACCCTGCCTTCTGCCTTTCTGTCGGATGGCACTCGGTAGCAGCATTCACTGTCTTTTTTATTACACTTCATAAAGACACTCATGAAAGAGGACTTCAAGAACTGCTTCCGAAAATAGCAAGAACAACAGCATAAATGTGTTCAAAGCAAGGGGGAGTACTTTCAGGGGAATTAATGGCAATGTGTCAGTCACTGTAATATATTTTTAAAATTTAAACATTCACTGTATATTTTGATCACTCTTGTATATCCTCAGCCCTTTTTATTTTTGAGACAGAGTCTCACTAAGTTGCCCAGACAGGCCTTGAACATGGGATCCTTTGGCCTCAGCCTTCCAAATAGCTGAGATTATAGATGTGTGCGGCTGTGCCAGCTGTCCTGGCTTCTTGAGCGGAATACTGCCCACACACTGCCTTTCTCTTCCACTAGGATTTGCCTGAACAGTTAGAAAGCCCGTCCTTGTCTTGATCATGGGCAGACACATTTCAGTCCCAGCTGTGCCCACGCGGGGCGTACGGATCAGTCAGTACCCCATGCTCGCTCTCACTTGTGGTCTCCTGTTCTCTATTCAGGTGGATCCCATGTTTCAGAAGACTGCAGCCTCGTTTGACGAGTGCAGCACGGCGGGGGTGTTCCTCTCCACCCTGCACTGCCAGGACTACCGGAGCGAGCTGCTCTTTCCTTCCGATGTCCAGCCTCTCTCCACTGGGGAGTCCCTTGAGCTGCCAGATTTGGGCTGGGTAGAGATGACAGACCTGAAAGGTAAGCACAAACCACGCCTGTCGCCAGAGCTTTTGTCACTAGAGAAGTTTCTCCCGTATCTATAGGTACAGCCATCAGGTGCTCGTGTTGGCGCTCTCCTCGGATGCCACACAGAGTGTCCTTCCGGCAGTGTCTGGCTCTGCAGGCGTGGAGTCCAAACAGTAACCCACACTTGTCAGTGTCTGTGCCCCACGTCCCTGGATGCCCGCTGTTCACTGCAAGTTCTTGTGGCCAGGCTCAGGCTGGATGCTGGACTCTGGAGTTTGGGAAGGAGGCCTACAGAGATCTGTCTGGCTGAAAGGCCTTGTCCTCATTTGCCACACGTCCAGGAGGCTGCGAGGAGGAGAGGGTGTAGTCAGTTTTTGTCAGGTCCCTCTGGCAGTCCGAGGACTGACCTGTCCAGTTGTTAGTCCTGCTACCCCAGCTTGGCAAGATGAGAACACAAGCCCATTTCACCATTCAGCCCAAGCCTGGGTCTTCAGAGGGTACAGGAATGGGAAACAGCCAGTGTGAAGTCAGACACAGGGCTGCCCGAGCTGGACTTGCTTGGGAGTTTTTTCTTTTTGGTACTGGGGGTTGAGCTTTGCACTGAGCTGTATCCTGTGTTTTTTTATTTTGACATAGGGTCTTGGTAAGTTGCCAAGGCTGGGCTAAAACTTATAATCCTCCTGCCTCAGCCTCCCAGAGTACAGTGATCACAGGTGTGTGTCCCTATCCCTGGACGTGATCGTGTTTTACAGGTTGGATGATATTGATCCTTCCCTTCTAAGCAGAGCCATGCAGATGTTACAGCACTCATTCTCATCTTTTCTGTTCACGCCTAAATTTTGCTAAGTGTAACAGTTTTGGACTAGCAGTCTGTTTTTCATATTTTCTGCCTTCAGCGGGCTCCGATCCTCAGAGATAGGTGGGTTTGGGCTAAAAGTAATGGCTGTCAAGCTGGGCGTGGTGGCACACACCTGTAATCCCAGCACTCAGGAGGCTGAGGCAGAGGATTACCATCAATTTGAGGCCAGGCTGGGCTACATAGTGAGTTCAAGGCCAGCCCGAACTACCTAATGAGACCCTGTTTAAAAAAAAACAAAACCCAAAACCCATTGTCATATGATTCCTTGTATGCTCAGTGTGCTTTAGAGGAAGGGTTTTTGGGTTCCCCCATGGTATAGGGTGAGAGTTCATTTCAGAACCAGCTGTCTGTGCTTCAGGCTTTTCCTGCAGCGTTTTACTACGGCAACGATCAAGCACAGCCTGGCCCACTGCAGCGTGTGCCTGTGTTGCTGCTGGTTTCTGGAGAGCAGTCAGCACACAGGGTTGGCAGCCTGCCAGTGTTGACACTCAGCTTCTGCTGGAGGACAGTGAGGCGACTGTGCCTCTGGTCTCTCTTGTGCCCCTTGGTGGGAGATGTGCAGGAGACCGCAGAATGCACCGCCCCCCCTGTTCCCTGACCTCGATGTGCTCTCCTCCAGAGCCCTTGCAGCAGTGTGTGGAAGATCGCCAGCTCTGCCCCGCCCTGGCCGGCTTCCAGTTCACCCAGTGGGACAGCGACTCGCATACTGAGGTGTGGTCAGCATTGGAGCTCAGAAGGGCTCCAGGCATTTCTCCGATGGGTGGTGGTTTCGGTTAAATGGCTCAAGATTAGTTCTGCCCAGTGGGAACCAAAACTGTGGCATCATTTTTATTTAACTAGGAGTACAGAAAATATTTCCTTTGGCACTTCTGCAGGGATAAAACCTGGCTAGGGTAGGGTTGTGAGCCTCACTGTAGGACCATTGTAAGACCCTTTGTGAGTGAATTTTTCTTTCTTTCTTTCTTTCTTTCTTTCTTTCTTTCTTTCTTTCTTTCTTTCTTTTTCTTTCTTTCTTTCTTTCTTTCTTTCTTTCTTTCTTTCTTTCTTTCTTTCTTTCTTTCTTTTTCTTTCCTTCTTTTCTTCTTGCGTGCCTGCCTGTTCTGTTTTGTTTTGTTTTGTTTTGTTTCATGCTAGGGATAGCACCCAGGATCTTATACATGCTAAGAAAGCATTGTACCACTGAGCTATATCTCCAGCCCTTTTGAGAAACAATTTTAAGATAGCATTCTCTCCAAGTTGCCCCGACTGGCTTGAATTTGGAATTTTCCTGCCTCAGCCTCCCAAGTAGCTGGCATGACAGGCATGCACCACTACACTGACATGTGTGAACTCTTTTTATCAGATTTACTCTCAAACATGGTTATTCCAGTGGCCTCTGGTCGCAGGCTGCTGTCAAGTTCGAGGCATTTCCTGCTTGTTGGGGTTGAGTCCCTTGGCACACAGTTTCCTGAGAAATTGTCATGTGCAAGGCCTGCCTTGGTATATTTTTAGTATGGCCCCCTTTAGCCTCATTACCACAGCTTCCAAAATAAACGGTCTCCATGGAAAACCGTTTTCTCTGCATATGCAGTTAACGAGTACAGATTCCTGTTTCATGTTTTGCAAAACATGCCTGACAATGCAGCCTCATCCTGTGCTACACAATATAAACTTCCTCAGTGCCTGACGCTCGGGAGAGAGCACCGGCTCCAGGAGGCGCAGACAGGAGAGCGGTGTGGGGCAAGAAGGCTGGGAGCCAGAGTGCAGGGCTGAGCTGGGGTAGTCACAGGAATGAGGACAGCCAGAGAACCCTCTCTCGTCCCTGCAGTCTGTGTCGGCCCTGGTGGACAAGTTCAAGAAGAATGACCAGGTGTTTGATGCCGATGCGGAGGTTGAGGAGAGTGACGGCGGGAATTTCCTCGATGGGCCCCTGGAGGATGACTTTGATGCGAACGATGAGCCCGAGCACACTGCAACGGGGGACCACGAGGAGTTCAGGAGCTGGAAGGAGCCCTCCCAGCTCCAGAGCTGCCAGTAAGGCCCTCAGGGTTCCAGAAAGTTTTCCCAGAGGCACTCCCGGTCTGGTCTGAACAGGTCTTCCAAAGGGGATAAGACTTGTCCCTGACTGGCCGGGCCAGTGGGCCGTGTTGTGCACATCAGCAGAGCTCTCTGCCTGACAGTGGAAACAACACCTGCATTGTGTGTTGGCCAAGCCACTTTGGTTATCAAACTGACACTGCAGGAACTAGGAAGGATGAGAATGATTTAATACTGGGAAAAGGATGTGGGACCTAAGCTGGGCATGGTAGCACCCAAGCAGGAGGATTAAAAGGTCAGGTCCAGCCTGGATAATTTAGGAAGACGCTGTCTCAAAAATAAAAAGGGCTAGAGACAAAGGTTGCTGGTTAGAGCAGTGGCCTGGCATGCATGGGGCCTTGAGTTCAGTTCCCATATTGCAGAAATGAAATATACCATGCCTGGTATGTAGTAGCTACTGCAGGGTAGCTGCCATTCCCACTTGCGTGTGGCAGTGGAGAGGGTGCTCCCTTTCACACACTGCATGTGCTGGGTTAGGTCACGTCACTGCACACGAGTGACAGACATTAGGGGCAGGTGTATCGCTTACATTATGACATAGCACTTGCCAGGGAGGTAAGCGGGGTGGCCAGGCAGTGCTGGTCACTAGACGACTGGCTGGGGGCTGAGGCAGGTAGAGCTAAGTGCGGTGCTGGGAGGGCAGAGTGGAGACGGGACTGAGCAGGCATTACAAGAAAAAGTGCAAAAGAACTTGGTTGGTCTTCATTAGATGCCCTTGATGGGTCAGTGGTATTTAATTCTCAACATGACTGGAAGCAGGATTTCACACCCGTGAGTGTGGCAGGCCTCCAAAGGTCCTGAATGGGCCATGCGCTCAGAGTCCCTCTGCTAACTCCACTGTCCGTAACTGCAACTGTGCAGGCCTGGGGTTGGGGACAGCCAAGCTGGTGTTGTTTGGGCAAAGCCTCAGGCGTTGTCAGTGTAATTTCCCAGCAGAGCACAGTCTGTTTGACAGCGCTGCTTGAGGGCTTCAGGACGGGAGGTTTCTTTCTTGAGCTCAGCTTGCCTGCCCCTGTGGGAAATGGCTAGGTGGATAATGTATCTCGGAATTGGAGTAGAAATTTGGGCGCCTGAACATTTGGCACCTCTGGGTGGATTTGCCCATCCTGGCCTGTTAGCCTCTCTTCTGCTTCATCAGCGGACTTCGCGTTAGCCTGCCTGTTCCTGTCCTGTCTGCCAGGAGGCGAGGATGGTAGGCCGGTCAAGGGCTGAGCTCCTCTGATGCCCCTGACACACACCGGAGAAGAGCACTCATGTTTCCTGCTGGGTATGAACAGACATCTTCATTGCTCCCTCAAAGAGCACCAAACCTTGGGCTCTGTCCTCCTAAGTGTGTTGGGACAGGAGGATATGGCCCCAGCCTGGGCTTTGCCTAACCTCAGGTCCTCTGTGCCGGGCAGGGGGTTGGCCTTTCCCGGGGCTTGCTAAGGTTTGCCCTGAGGTAGACCTAACCCTGCCAGAGACCTGTGAGGTGTGGGCAGCGCCATTGCCTTTGGGTTTTTTCTTCATGGAACAAAGAGTTGGGACTAGATGAGAATCACTGTCTTTGAGGGAGGTGGGGGTGTTGCTTGGGTAGAGTGTGTGCCCAGCACGTTCGAGGCTCTGGGTTCGGTCCCTGGCCCTGCAAAACAAAGTCCTCGCTGATAATTTTCTAGCCCCTTGTTCTAACTGTGTGCCAGATGCTATGCCAGTGGCTTGTTATTTCCCGTCAGTTACATATGAAAATGTAGTTGTCTAATCTTGCTCAGCTCTGTAGCTAGGTACTGTTATCCTCTTCTCTGTAACAAGGTGCTCTTGCTACCCGCTAGGAAACAGGCTCATAGAGGTTCTGTGTTGGGTAGAGCTCTCAGCACGTAGCACAGTGGGCCAGACTGTGTGTGGGGAGCTTTGGACGGCAGCTTCCACTGCACACAGGGACGGCCTTGTGGTTTTCATACTTCCCGGGTACTCCCAGGTTGAGCCCACTGAACAGATCATCAGGGCATCTTGCTCAAAGTGGGCTGGGGTTAGGGCCGAGTGATTAAACTCCATCAGACTGGAAGGGTCAGCAGCACAGCACCAGCCTGGCAAGCTCAAGGTCCTGAGTTAGATTCCCAGTACCAAAAAAACAGTCACTGTCAGGCAGGAGGCCCCTGTTACAGGTGCTAGATGACAACTCTGACGGCAGTGCAGTGTCAGAAGTAGCTCTCTCTAGCTGGTCCTCCTGGCACAGTGCTCCCTGGGAGGTGCCCTGTGCTAAGCACCAGAGCACAGCCCCCTCGGCGCCTGCGGGAAGAGGCACGATGCTGGGCTGGCTGGAGAGTGTGGCACACTGCGCGGGGGCTGACGGGCAGGAGGGCCTGTGGTGTGGAGAGGCCTTGGGAGGGAGCGTCCTGGCAGGGTTGGGGGAGTGTGGAGGGGCCAGCTCTGTGACCAGATTCTCTGATGTGACCAGATTCTCGGAGCTAGTGAGTGAGAACCTTGGACAGCCGGTGCCCGCCATACCGCTTGTGTGGCGACGGAATTGGTGGTGACTGGAGTTCGGGAAGCCTCCGGGGCCTCCACACAGCCTGGACCAGGCCCTCAGGAGGGAGCTAAGCTCTTTACACCTTTGCCTGTTGGTGCCCAACTGTCAGAACTCTTGACAGCAGAGTGCGGGGGACCAAGTGGGTGCTCCTATATGTAGCACGTTTGCTGCTGAATAATGAGGCTAGCCATCGAGTTCTGTGACAGCCAAGATGTTCAACTAGAAATGTGATATTTTTAGTGTATTTCAGGTTTAAAGTTTTCATTACATGATAAGTGCACAAGTACAATCTTTTTCATAATATTATATAGATAAAGCCAAAGTTTCTTTTTTTTTGTTTTTTTTGAGACAGGGTCTCACTATGGAGTTCAGGCTGGTTTTGAACTCACTTTGTAGCACAGGCTGGCCTTGAACTCTCAATGATCCTCCTGCCTCAACCTCCTGAGAGTGCTGGGGTTACAGGCATGCGCCACCACACCTGGCCAAAGTTTCCTTTGAAGAGCTTTTTTTGCCTTGTGTGTGGAGTGGCCTTGCCACCCTCACCCCTAGGGGGCAGCACAGCCCTTGAGAGAGCTGCAGCACTGTTTTAGCTCCTCAGAGAAGGATGAAAACCTAAAGGCCACACTGGACAGGCCACGTAGGCATGTCGTACTTGGCAAAGAATACAGCTAGAGACCAAACAGATTGTGACGGGGCCCTGAAAGTGTTTGGAGGGCAAAGTGAAATCAGCATAAGCCCTTGTTCACTGAGAGTACTGCACTGAGAGGGACTGCAGCAGTGTCTGGTGGTGCCCTCAACCATGGGAAGAAAGAATGGGGGACTGTCACGGCGCATGGTGTGAGGCTGGGACTCGGGCAATTGAGTCTGGCTCCCAGGCCTCACGTTTTACTACCTGTATAGTCTTACACAGGAACTTCAAGGCTCAGAAATAAAGAAAAGAAACACACACGACTTAATTTCTCTGTGTCTCTTTAATAGTCTCTCACATGGATAGATTAGCATTTATGAAGGGTTTGAAACATCCCAAGTACCTGTATAGACATGAGCATGTTATTAAGAGAAATGCACGGGAAGAGTAAGGACTGGGACTTGTTGACAGTGAAGGGTTTGTTTTGGAGTTGCTCTGAGAAATGCTGTTCATTGTGGGAAGGTGGGTAGGCAGCAGCATTTCCAGTGACGTTATGTGCTTTTTTACGTGTAAATATGCGGTTGTATTATATGTAACATACATGAACATACATGCTTTCATGTGGATTACAGGGAAGAAATGATTTCCCTTGGGGATGGAGACATTCGGGCCATGTGTCCCCTTCTGTCCATGAAACCTGGAGAATATTCCTACTTCAGTCCGCGGACTATGAAGATGTGGGCTGGCCCTGATCACTGGCGCTTTCGGCCTCAGCACAAACGTATGTACTTCTGAGTGGGCTCTCAGGACAAGTGGTGTAGGTGACTAACCTGTCAGCTGCTCGCTGGGGACAGGCAATGCTGATCGCTGTCACAGATGAGCTGGCCTGGGATGGGGTCAGTTAAAACCGTGGGCTCTGAGCGGGAAGAGGGAGACTCTGGGGTCGGAAGGGCTGCGCCCACGACCTCACGCTGCTCCTCGCGAGGAATGTCAGCCTGGCCTGAAGCCTCGGGTGAGAGCACACCAAGAGTTGCTCTGCCTTCCGGGCCACCCTCGAGAGCTGCGTCCTGAGGAACGACCCGGCATATGTGTTGGATGTGTTTTGAGCCGCTGGGAGTTGTGTAGTTTAGGATGGAAGTGGGTATGTGGCGCAGCACGCCGGCCGGTAGAGCTGCTCGGCTGCACTATGATCTTGTGAGATGAATTTAAACCACAGAGGCGAACACAGCGTCTGTGTCCCTTCCCACAGAAGAGGCCCCCTCCCAGTCGGAGACCAGGAAGAAGAGTACAAAGAAAGACTTCACGATAGACTTTGACGAAGATATTGACTTTGATGTACATTTTCGAAAAACAAAGGTCTGTACTGGATTTATTCACTAGTGTTTGTGCTTTCTTAAATCACTCTTGACCCCCTTCTCTTTCAGATGTGAGTTAACTGAAACAACTGGTTTTCTCTCCCGCATCCTTAAAGGAGCCATTGAGAAATGGCCCCAGCAGGGCTGGGAAGAACCGCCTTTAGGATGACGGGGAGAATGCCTGGCAAGACCACCTTTTCACACAGATCTGTGGGATCTCTGATCTGTTGGGTGACCAGTGCCGCCCAGGCCCATTAAGAAAAAAGAAAACCCCAGGATATTTGACCATCATTATTGAAACTGCCTAAAAACTTTTTTGTTTTGAATGACCAGGCTGCTACTGTTCTGAGCAAGTCCACCTTGGAGAACCAGAACTGGAGAGCTACCACTCTTCCTATGGATTTCCACTATGAGATCAACACCCTCGTACAGCTGCATCTGAAGCCGGGCATGAGGGTGAGGCCACCCTGGTTCCTTAGGGCTGCTGTCGATGGCATGTGTGGTGGTGACAAGTGGCTGGTGGCGTGACTGTGGCAGTGCCACTGAGAGGACACGAGGAGGGACGTCTGTTGGCTGGCACCGGTGGGGCAAGGCAGAATTGAAGGGGCAGCTTGTAGAGAAGACTCCGAAAGACCTTGCCCAGGCTGGCCACAGCGGCATGTGCCGGTATCCCAGCACTTTGGAAGGCCGAGGCATGAGGATAGCAAGTTTGAGTCCCACCTGCATAACGTTGTGAGACCCTGTCTCAAAAAATATAACAAGGGCTGGGGGTATAGCTCCATGCAAAGGCCCTGGGTTCAACCCCCAATACAAAAAAAATGGAAACAGCTCAAGTGCTGGGCACTAGGGTGAGTCTTCATAGTATTGATGAGGTTTCAGAAACTTGTGATTTCTTGATTCTCTGGCTTTCTTTTGGAAGCTGTGGAGTCGCTTGCCTGGTGCCTTTTGTAGTCCACAGTGTCTTGCTTGTGATCCAGGTGTGGAAGGGTGCCGCCGTGACACACGAGCTTGTGTTCTGAAGTGTGCCTGCCCGTGCTCCCCCTAGGACTATCCTAAGAAGCTCCTAGACCGCCTGGTCTCATGTCCTGATTTCTGTCTGCATATTTGCATGTGGCGCCTGTCGTGGTACTAGTGCAAGGGATAGTGAGGTTCCTTTCGCAGTCACAGTTGCAGAGCAAGGTTGAGCCATGGCAGGTGCACATACTTCCCCCAAGCCTGGCCCAGCCTCACGGTGAGGCCCCTTGTCAGGACCTTGTGTAGAGACTGCTGTCTGCAGACAGGTAGGTTATTAGGATTTAATATATTTGGACTTGTATTATAAAAACATTGTGAGTTTGGGTTGCTTTTTTCCTCAAAGTGTAGAAAATTGTGGAATTGTATTAAATATTCAGTGTGCCCTCGTGAACCTGCACTCACACGTCCAGGTGCAGACCACTGGTGTAAGGACCCGCAGGTGCCGGGAGGGCTGTGGTCAGTGGCCTCCCAAAGGAGAGCATGGTTCCATGAGGCTGTGTATGTCACCAGGGGAGGGAACGAGGTTGCCACCTGGAAGTTAAGGTTGTTGGTTTTCATCAGAATTGGTCAAGTGTGACAAGTTAACTTCCTTTCGGATGGCTGTGGGCAGGGGCTTCCAACTTTTGATTTTAGAGCAGGACCAGTGTTTCACCTAAAACTGTGCAGAAGATGTCATTGCGGATCAGAAGCGGGGCTGCTGAGGAGGACTGGGCCATGTGGGGCTCTGCACCCAGCTCCCTGGGCTGCTCCATGCTGTGGGGAGGTGACATATTGACAGCTGTGATTCTGGGATCGGGCATAGCAACAGAGCGTGACTTCCCCAGCCTAGTGCACTTCTGCATTCTTTTGTTTTTGCTCTCACCTTTATTCTAGTTACTGAAGATGGACCAGGGCCAGAAGGCAGGGACTGAGCATTATGAAGAAATTGGGGACTATGACTACAACAACCCCAACGACACCTCCAACTTTTGCCCTGGACTCCAGGTAAACAAGATGAGCTCTGTCGTCCTCTCTAAGCGGGGACGCTTTCTTCCCTGCTCCCCCTCCCCTTGTAGATGGTGGGGTTGGAGGACTGTGAGCTGCTGGGTCCTCGGGGGCAGGTTTTTTGTTGTTGTTGTTGTTTGTCTTTTTGAAACAAGGTCTCTCTATGAAGTTCAGGCTGGCCTTGAGCTCACTTTGTAGCCCAGGCTGGTCTCAAACTTGCAACGATCCTCCTGCCTCAGCCTCCTGAGTGCTGGGATTACAGGTATACACCACCATGCCCAGCTCAGGGTACAGGTTCTGCCCTCTGTGCTGGCCTGCATCCTGAAGTGCTGGGTGCCGTGGTGAATGAGTCGGTGCACAGGTAGAACTGTTCACCCAGGCCATGAACACTAGTCTTGGCTATTTTCCCAGAAATAGGAACACTCTTCTTGCTCTTAAGAGCCAGTGTCCTGGCTGGGTAAAAAAACACACAGCAGGTGGTGTGGTCTGGAGGGGGCAGAGAAGTCTTCAGGCCTTCCAGAGACCCCAGAATGGGAGACCAGGCTTCCACCTGTGACTTTGGTTCCTACCCTGGGACCTTGTGAGCTCAGACAAGCCGCTCTCCATCTTTAGATCTTGGCTGGGACTAAATAATTTCCATTTCTCATTAGTAAGTCTATCCACAAGATAGTAAATAATACAAGGGCAGAGGGGAGCAGAGGCCTCATCTGCGTGCCTGCTGTGGGCAGTGGGCAAGGCGCTGGAAGGGTAGTTAGGCCCTGCTCCCCCATGCAGGAGAGGCGGGCTCTAGTGTTGTGCGAACCCCCTCGCTCCTTGACCAGTGCTTCCCAAGCCTGAACACTCACCCGAGAGGCTTTTCTGAGATAGCCTCACCCCTCCCCAGTCCTGGGCTTTTCTTGGGGTTGGTGGTGCCAGGGATTAAACTAGGGGCTTTGTGTGCTGACCGGTACCTCAACCCATCTGTGCCTTTGTCACCCGAGGGGTGCAAGTTGTGTCTCTAGGGTTACAGGACACTGTCTGTTAAATCTTCACTGGTTAGAAGCCACGGGCCGCTGTGACCTTTGGGGTGGTTGAATTCCCTTAACTCTTGTCAAAGAGGTCTTAGGGTAGCAACAGATCATGCCCAGGAGGGTTTCTGTGGAACAGAAGAAACCAGAAGGCCCCATGGATGTGGCTCCCTTTGGGAACGCTCAGGTGGTCTGCTCTGGCTTTGTGCACTCGGCTCTGTCTCCAGGGTGTTTCTAAGCCCCGGCCCCCAGCTCCCCCTAAACCTGGAGCTGTTTCCGTGCTTAGGCCGCTGACAGTGATTCTGAAGAGTCAGACAACTTACTTGCGGAGCCATTCGGGACCTTTGACCTCACATCTGAGCCCTGCCACACACCTACAGCAGCACAAGAGAATGGTGACACTCCTGAGGGCCATGCCGACATCACGACATACGGGGAATCCAACCTGGTGGCTGAGCCTCAGAAGGTAAAGGTGCAGCAGTCCAGATTTACATCATTTGCCTGGAATCTGTTTCGTTTACCTCCTGTCCGAGAGTCACGTCAGCCCGCGCCTGATCCCCTCCATCTCCGTTTCAATGTGTTGCTGCCCACGCGGCTGGGCCTTAAACAGGGTTGCAGGGAGGGACTGACGCCAGGTAGGTTCGTGTGGAATTAATTGGCCCTCGCCAAAGAGCTTTTGTGTCCACTTATCCGTGTGTGCTGGGTAGAATCCGGGCCTCGTGCTTGCTGGGCAAATGCTGTCTCACTGCCCTGTACCCCAGCTGCAAAGATTACAGTAGGTCACATAACTAGGTCTGAGCCTGTCACCCAAATAAAGTAACTTGGTGGAGGCTGCAGGCAGAGAATATGGATGTGGATGCCAATTTAGCAAGGCTAACTGCATGGCCCAGTTTGATTAATGTTGCATTATCCTGCATAATACATCTCTGTTCCATATGAGTTAGGCTTGGTGCTTTCGTTAATATTTGATCCTCTTACCTCTTTTGCACTGGCACTCAAGGTTAGTTTTAATGCAGATTACCTTTTGGGGCATAGTACTGGGGATTGAACCCCGGGCTACTGAGCTATATACCCACCTTGCGCTTGCCAGGCAGGCGCTTTTGCCGCTGAGCTAAATCCCCAGCACCCCACCCTTTAAAAAAAAAAAAAGAGGCAAGGTCTCTCAAAGTTGCTCAGTCTAGCCTTGGAATTGGAATCCTCTTGTCTCAGCCTCCTTATCAAAAAGAAATTTAAAACATTTAAAAAAAAATTTTTGTGACAAAGTCCTGTTATGTAGTTCAGGTAGGCTTTGAACTTGTTATGTAGCCCAGGCTGGCTTCAAACTCCCAGCAGTCCTCTTGCCTCAGCCTCTTGAGAGCTGGGATCACAGGTGTGAGCTACCATGCCCAGCTGAGAAATTAAATTTGATGTGAGGGATTAGTATATGTATGAGAACTGTGTAACTTTTTTGCGTGTGTGGTGCTGGGGATTGAACTCTGGGCCTTGTACACGGAAGGCAAAAGCTCTACCACTGAGCCACATCCTCAGCCCAGATTCTCTCTTTGGTTAAAACTGGGAGTATTTCCCTTTTGAATACTCCCTGCTCATCCAGAGTAGCTGTCTGTCTGTGCGCGCTCTCCCCTTTCCCCCTCTCTTCAAATAAATTGTCTTCTTTACTTGAAAAAAAGAAAAACTGGATTTTTCTTTATTCTAAGTCCAGAGTTTTTACAGTGAATCAGTGGTGGTTTTTTCTTCTGCTTAGTTTTACCTTGTCATGTGCCCGTTGCAGGTAAATAAAATTGAAATTCATTATGCCAAGACTGCCAAAAAGATGGACATGAAGAAGCTGAAGCAGAGCATGTGGAGTCTGCTGACGGAGCTCCCCAGAAGGGAGGCCAGCGCCGAGGTAGGGGACGGGGCCGACAGCGGCCACTCCAGCCTGTCTGTTGCTCCCGGAAGGAGAAGGGAGCCGTCACACCAGGAGAGACAAGGGCTTGGCAGAGGCGCGGGCAGGGCGCACAGAAGGGGGCGCAGGTGGCAGGCTGGTGCCCGGGACGTGTTCATGTTCCGCTGCTTGAAAACGGCAGCATTTCACAGTAGTATTCCAGCACTGACTCGAAGAAAAGTTGGAATACTTACTGCTGGTAGCAATTTCCGTTGAAAAAGGATCCTTTAGAAAGGAACTGCTTGTCTAGAAGAGATGAGTTCTGCTTTCCATAAATTGTTTTAGATATCTTTTTTTAAAAAAGAAAGAAAAAGAGTAACTACTTGTCAGGTGCCACGAAAGGCTTACGCCCTTCTCTCTCTCTTTTTTTTTGTCTTTTTGAGAGAGTCTCACTATGCGGTTCAGGCTGCCTTGAACTCACTTTGTAGCCCAGGCCTCGAACTAAACCCTTCTGAGAGGTACTTCTGACTTGGGGAATGACTGTCCGTAGGAAAGTCGCAGAGAAACGATCCTGCCGTCGGAGTCCTTCTGGAGCAGGAAGTGAAACCTCCATTACTTGTCCAACTCAGCGGAGGTCTCAGGCGCCTTTCTTCAGAATCTTCCTGCTCAGGCGCGCGGAGCTCTAGAGCTCAGCCTCTTCTCCCTGCTGCTGGCTGAGAAGTGTGCGTCCATGGCTTGACAGAGGTCCAGAGCTGTGTGGTCTCAGGTGTGCTGGAGAACGCTTGAGTCCTGCTTGGGAGTTCTGTCTCCTAACACGATCAGCTTCACAGGAAGAAGGCTGGTTTTTAAAGAGGGAGGGAAAGCCGGCGTGGTGGCTGATACCTGTTATCCCAGCCCTCGGGAGGCTGAGGTAGGAGGATCACTGTGATGTTCAAGGACAGCCTTGCGCACATCGTGAGCACAAGGCCACCCCAAATTACACAGTGAGACCCTGTCTCAAAACAGTAGCAGTAAAGAGGGAGGAGGGTGCTGCCTGACTTTCAGATTTAATGACTCTATGCCCTACCCTCAAGCATTCTGGTTCATTAAAGGTTTATTCTTTTTAAAAAATCATTTCATTAGAGAATATCATACAAAAGTAGAAGAGTAGAGAGAAAAATAATAGTGTAGTATGATGAACCCCACTTCAGTAGCTCTGAATGTCTTATTAGACCATTGCCTGTCTTGTCCCTGCCACCCGTGAGCCGCGTGTACGTTACACATTCTTCCGTAGCTGGGGGCGGAGCCTTGGTCAGTGCCCACCACTGAGCTGTGTCACTGGCCTTTTTTATTTTGAGATTGGCTCCCTCGTAAGTTGCCAAGGCTGGTCTCGAAGCCTCTCAAGTAGCTGTGATTACAGGTGTACATCACCACACCCAGCTACAAATCATTTTTAAGTACATTCTACCCCCGATATACTCTCGTAGCTGCTTGCTCATTACTAAAGAAGTGGAGTATTTTTTTGTTAGTTTATGTTTAAGTATGGATTTTGTGCTGCCTCTAGCTGTGTAATTGTGTTGAAGCTATAAATCGTTATTTTTGTTTGTTTTTTAAACTTTTCCCAAGGGCTTTTAGGAGGAGACCCTTTGCAGTTTCCCCTTCAGCAGGGTCATATCAGCCACTGTAACTGGGTGGATGTCACTGTCCATCCAGGGTTGGGACCCTGTCCTAACTCCTTCCCAGAAGTAACCAAGGACTTACTGCGCTGTCCTTCAGGGTCCTTTCCTTGGTGGATTCAGTCTTGTGAGTGTCTGCGGCCTCTCGGAAGGGCACTGGCCTTACGTGTCTGTCTTCCGTTAGGTGAACCTCAGCGAAACTGGCGCGGGAGCCTCGGTGGGCGTGGCCAAGGACAAGATGCTCAGCAGGCTCACAAACGACCTGCAGAAGAGGTGTGTGCTGCCGGGTGGGACATACGGACACATGTGGGGGCCCACAGGCACACCGCGTCCCCTCTGTACCCCGCTGAGGGCGTGGCGGGGCCGTCGGAGCGACAGGCCTGCCGCAGCCCATCTGATGCACTCTGCCTCGCTGTGTGTGGCGAGTGCCTCTGTTCTCCCTGCACTGACCGTGGCGCCCTCCGCTCTGATTGCAGCCTGCCTCCCACCATGGCCCAGAACCTCTCCATCCCTCTGGCATTCGCTTGCCTGCTGCACCTGGCCAACGAGAAGGTAAGTCACGGCAGGCAGGGCGGCTTACACATACCCTGTTCAGTGCTCCCCTTCCAGAGCTTCAGGTGTGTCTTACACAGAGCCTTCAACACAGGCCATCCAGCAGGCACTGAGAAGTCACTCAGCGTACAGCCACCAGATTTGCCAGCAGTGGAAATGGTGGAGACAACCCAAACAGGAAGATGTTTTGTTGTGTTCTTAAGACAGGGTCTCACTATGTAGCGCAGGCTGGCCTTGCACTCATTATGTAGCCGAGTTGACCTCAAAATTGAAGCAGTTCTCCTGCCTCAGCCTCCCTAGTGCTGGAATTGTAGATGTGCACCACCAGACTCAGCTCTGCATGGGAAGATTTTAGATGGTGGGATTAGATGGCTGCAAGATTTTAGATGGTGGGATTATGCTCTTCCCAGTTCCCCAACCTGAGAATATAGAGCGGTTTTTATTTCACTGGGTGTTAACACTTTAAAAGCCAAGGCCTACAAGTGCCAGAGACCAGACTTCCGGGTAACACAGCAGAGGAGAGGAGAGGCGGAGAAAAGGCAGACCACTTTGGCAAGGGAGGCTGGAGCTGTGGAGGCGCCAGCTGCCGTGGGCAGGGAGGCAGGTCTTGGGAGCAGAGCAGAGCCATCTGGCACAGGCAGGAGTCCACGGGGCAGGCGCCTGGCTGTGCCCTGTCAGCCTCGGCGGGTGCCTGGGGGAGTTAGGGAAAGAGGAGGAGGGGCCTCCTCAGAAGCCCTGATGTGGCAAACAGCACTAAACCCATACACTGGGCACCTGGACACTTGGTGTCCACACTGATGTTGGCACTTGGTAGAGGCCTGGCCGGGGTACAGGGCTGGCATTGTGCTCCGTGGCATAGGTCCCACACTTCCTGTAGGGCAGGGCCTGCCCTGAGCAGCGGCGACCCCGGAGTGCCTGGCTGGACTGCATGTGTGGTTTGGCAGGGTGGAGAGGTTGCAGTGGAGTGGTAGCAAGGTGGGTGCTGGCGGAATGCCCCATGATGTCCCGCTTGCTCACATGTGACCTCTGGCCTCGCAGGAAGTCCAGGCGGTGATGCTTGGCTGCACCTCCCAGGCCTGCCCAGCTTTGGAGAGGTCCCTGGGGAACCAGGCTGCCCGAGGAGCTGGGTCTTGCTGGTCCCCATGATCACGGCTCCCTGAGGAGGGAGGGGCTGGCCAGTGATGGAAGCTAACTGTGGTTTTCAGTGGGGAACCAGAACTCAGAAGAGCCCTAGGCTGAGTCCAGGTGCTGCCTGGACCCACCAGAGCAAGTGTCCAAGCCTGTGGGCTGAGCAGAAACCGGCTTCACGCTCAGAGTGACCACGCAATGGGCTGCTGAGGTGGCTGTCTCCTGGGAATCCTGGTGGCGGCGGCTGAATCTGGAGATGTGTCATGTCCAGAAGCCGTGAAGCAAGGGTGGCGGGCATGCAGCACCTGTCTGGCTGTGAGACAGGAAGCGGAAGTGTCTCCCCATGGGTCCTCATACATCAGAGGTATCTGATGTCAGACACAAACTACATGGAGGAAGACGACTAGCAGAAAATAATCAGTAACACAATATCGTCTCCCTGCCTGGAGGCCTGCCAGTGGCTCTGTGAGGGCGACTCGCATGCCACGCCCCAGGTGTCCCTCCCTGCCGAGCTGTCCCCGGAGACCTGGACTCATCCTCCCTGGCCCTGTGGCCGAGGTGCTGCAGCGTCCTGCTGGAGCTCTCACACTGCAGGCTCCTGAGGCGGAGAGGGCATCCATGGCCCAAAAACCTTCCTTCAGCTAACATTGTTACTGCCCGGAGTCCTGGCTCCTGGGAAGGCTGAGGCGGGAGATAATGTGAGCCCCAGAGCCAAGGCCAGCCTGGGCAGCATAGGCAGCCCTTGTCTCAGAGCAACCCAAGCAAAGATAAAGACAATTCTGATTTCACTCATTTGCCCCAGTGCAGGGATTGAGGTGCTGCCCCGGCTGGGCATCTCCATGGAAACCTGCCTTTTCCCCCAAGAGAGCAGCCTGTGGCCTTGCTAGGGTCCCAGGTGGCCCGGGGCCAGCTCAGCACAGCGGAAGGGGCTCGCTGGGCCCCCGCTGGTACCCTGTGCTCCCTCGTCCACCGGCAGCTAGGGCTGAGTTCAGGGGGGTCACCTACCACTGCGGGGGGGCCCCCCGGAGCCCTGGGTTTGGGAGGCCTGCAAGGCAGCTTTGTTCCTCATCTGTAGTCACTGCTTTGTCGCCTTGCTGAGAGTTGGATTTAAGTTTTTTGTCCCTGTCTAAGTCCCTGTATCTTGCACATTCCTCAGAATCTGAAGCTGGAAGGCACACAGGATCTTTCCGATGTCTTCGTGAGGCAGAGCGACTGAGGCCCCGGCAGGAGTCGGCTGCAGGAGGCCCGGCTGTCTCCCGTCAGTCGGGCTGGAGGGAGATGCAGGGGCCTGCGGCGAGGCTGTCGCCAGCTACTAGAGTGCCTGTCGCTCCGCCTGCCTCCGTCACTGTCTGGGTACTGGTGCCACGGCTCTGTCTGCTGCTGGCGGAAGTTTCGGTGCTTGCGACGAATCGGGCAGGACGGGGAGGATGGCACTGTGTGCTCACGGCCCAGCTGTGTGTGTCCACTGTGTGTCTCGGGCCTCTGTCAGTCTCCTCCCTCCCTGTTATTTCCACCCTTCTCTTGTAGAAAGTAATTGTTCCATAGCTGCCTACTGTCGTTCTCAAGATCCCCCCAGTCCATGTACATAAAGTTCTCTCCGTGTACATTTATAAATGTATATATAATGCTGAAAAGACCTTTCCGAAGAATGTGCCTGGCGAGATATTTCCATGTCGCTGTTAGTATTGGTGCTCTTCTCCCAGGACACACATATCACTGAGGCAGGAAATGCTCGGGGACGTGCGCTGCCCCAGAGGAGAGTGGAGAAGAGGGAAGCAGCTGCTGGAGAGGAGGCTCAGGGTGGGGTCCATGCTGGGTCCATGCTGGGTCCCCGCAGATTCCACAAGGGCAGTGGGGGCAGTGATTGCTGACTTAGGGGCCCACCACCACTTTCACCCGGCCTCTGCACCCTGGAAGGAGCGTGCCCGCAACACGCCATGTGATGCGAATGAAGCGCAGTGAAGTGACTCCCCTGCTGGGAGCCTCGGTTCCTGGCCGCCAGGCCATGTGCTTGAAGAGCAGTGACGCCCAGCTCCTCAGACTCCGAGCACCCACAAATCTAAAATCTCTTCCAAGGAATTCTGTCCTTGGTGGTCCTGGCTCTGCCAAACCCCCGCAGCTGTCACTGGCTAAGTTGAGATCTTGGATGCAAGGCCCCAAGTAATTGGTGATTCTTCTTTTTGGAGGGTTACCAGGAACCAAACTCAGGACCTTGCGCTGGCCAGGCAGGCACTGGGCGGCCGACCTGTGTCCCCAGCCCAAACAGGTGATCATACTTGACAGAATCTTTTTTGCTTCTTAAGCCAAAAATCACACAAAACACACACCCCGCCCCAGTGTGCTTCCGGGTGTGTCCTGAATATCACTCACTGCGCGGTCATTGTGCCAGGCTTTAGGGGGACAGCAGCTCATGCTTCCCCATTCTGGCGCGGCTGGGCCTCTTGCTCGCACCTCAGTGCTGAGAGCAGCCTGCAGAGCCACTCGCCCCTCTGACCATGTACTTGCTGACAGCGGGGCCCGGGCCGGGCTGAGCCCAGTGGACCCTCTCCACCTGCTCCCAGCTCCCCTGTCACGCAGCGCTGTGTCCGGATGCCTCTGTCCCCTCCACAAACCTAATCTTCCAAACAGTAGGGTTGTGAGGGGGACTCGGTGAACCCGTCACTGAGATTAGAGCCCTTATGAGAGGCTGAGCGCGCTTGTCCTCCACCCGCTGTGAAAGCCCCGTGAGGACACAGCAAGACGTGGCATCTCTAAGGCAGGAAGCAGCGCCCCTCACCTACTGCGCCTGCCAGAGCCTCGATAGCCGCCCGGCCTCTAGAGCCTGGAGTAGCGCGTGGTACCCTCTGCAAGCCGCGTCCGCGAGTGCACAGCGTAAGCCCAGGGGCCGGGTTGCGTCTCATTTTCCAGCCATAGGATTTCCACTTGCGTTTCTTTTATTTTGAGATTCCCTGTTCACTGTCTGTTTTCCTTAAAACTGAACATACTTTCTTTCTACTTCTTTTTGAACATACTTACAATAGCAGCTCTGAAGTCTTCGCCATACCCTAATCTGAGCCCTTCCAGCAATAACTGGTCATTCTTCCTGAATGTAGATTACACATTTATGTCTCTTGGCATGTTTAGTCATTTTCAGTTGAGACTTGGGTACTGTAAATAAAGTGTCATAGTGACTGGATGCTGTGGTGTTCTCTGAAGAGGCGTAGATTTTCCGCCTGGATTCAAACCTCAGATTCCGTGTCCCTCACCGTCTGCAGTTACTGATCTGTCCTGATCACTGCCCACCTACTGCTGTCGTGCCTGACCGCTGCGCTGCCCGCCAGCTTGGGTGCACAGCCGGGGCTGTGGCTGTCTCCGTGACTTCTCCCCTCTGCTTTCCGGCCGCCCTGCCTGCCTTGGGCCTGTCCTTCCAGCCCATCCAGCTTCTGCTCATCGCCACACGGGTGTGAGGGCGGCGTCAGCCTTCTGGATCTTTTCTGCGCGGCCCCCTTTACATTTCTCGCTGCCTCCCCTCCCTCGGACTCTGTTCTCCGGCATCTTGCCGCCAAAGCTGTGGTGCCCCCGCGTCTCACACAGCCATCGCTGTTGGGATCAGGCGCCAGTGAGCCGCAGACATGCTTCATATGTGTATGTGTGCGCAGGTGACTGACTTCTTCATCCCGGAGATCTGATCGAAGGAACCATGCCAGAGCCACTGTCATATTTTAGGAACAGATCTGAGGCACTATATTCACATCTGGACCTGCTTTAGTTAACATTCCTGACTTCTAGTGGATGTTTACTGGGGTGTGATTTCTGGGACCTTGGGGAGATGAAGTGTCTTTTGCACATACGAGTTTTGTGAATTGCATGAGCCAGCCTCCAGGATAATAGTGTCTCAGTATTCATACTTTTTGTGGCTTGTTCTTTAGCAGAGTACTGAAACGGTGGTGCGTGGCTTCCAAGGCTAAGTGATAACATACCTTGCAACTCCCACAGTGCTAGCACATAGGTCATTTTGCTGTGGGAGGAACACTTCAGAAGTATTTGGAGACAGGCAGGGGGTGCACACCTGTAGTCCCAGCACTTGGGAGGCTGAGGCAGGAGAATTGCCGTGAATTCGAGGCTAGCCTGGGCTACACAGTTTTAAGACCAGCCTGAGGAGGCTGGGGATTTAGTTCAGTGGCACAGCGCCTGCCTGGCAAGCGCAAGGTGGTGAGTTCGATTCCCAGTACTGGAAAACAAACAAACAAAAGACCAGCCTGAATTACAGGGCGAGACCCTGTCTGAAAAAGCAAAACAACAACAACAAAAGTATTTGGAGAGCCCTGTGTGAGGGAAATGGAGCCTCCTGCCAGCAACCCACACCCACTTGTCATCCACGTGAGGCAAGTGGACGCAGGTCCTTCGTGGGTGGTGTGGCTTTGGTAACATTGTGCCTGCAGCCTCATGGAGACCCGGAGTCAGAGCCATCCTCTAAGCCAAAAGCACACGCCCGTAGTCCAGCACCAGGAGGCTGAGGCAGGATTGCCATGAGTTCGAGGCCAGCCTAGGCTACCTACTGAATTGAAGACCAGCCTGTCTCAAAAATACAAAACAAAAATAAATAAAATGTGCATAGAAACCTACAAGGAAGAAACAATTTATCCCCTCCCAAGAGTCTGTCTAGCTTTTGTACTGGCGGGGTTCATTACACTGAAATCAGTGCTCTCACAGTCAGTGGGTTCAATGACTATGAACACACAGTTTCCCATTACCCGTAACCGGCACCATTCCCTATAATAAACCTGCAGTGAAAACACAGATTACTCTTTGGTTAAAGGTTATATTTGACACAAGATTAATAAATCCTTTTTTATGGACTGATTTATCGTTGTTCCAGGTTAAGTTCTCCTGTTTTATTAATGTTTATTTACATTCACCCCCAGGACTGTTTCCATGCCCCATAGAAAACCACTCCAGGGTGTTTAATGTGTACCCTTTTGCATGTTTTCCAGCCAGTGTTTTATGTACATTATTTTTAGTTGATGTAAATAATTTGCATTATATATTTTCCCTGCTTCTTTTTTCCTCCTCTAGCAGTCTGATTTTTTTCTTTTTGTTTTTGTTTTGAGGCAGGGTCTCACTGTGTAGTCTAGGCTGGCCTTGAACTCACTATATATCACAGGCTGGCCTCATACTTGCAGCAGTCCTCCTGCCTCAGCCTCCCAAGGGCTGGGACGCCCCACTCATACTGCTGAGTCCCGCCAGTGTCAGGATTCTTACATCTCCACAGCCATGTTGAGGGTGAAGCTGTCTATACCTTGGGTATCTAGGACATGGCCACTGCTTCTCATGAGTTTTGCAGGGCCCCATGAGGAGTGTACACAGCTCAGGGAGCTGATGCACATAGTGACTTGACCTTCCCCTGAGATAATATAGACACTTATCCTCTTGTTCCCTATGCAGCCACCAAGTCATGTAGTTCTGCTGACGCTTAGATATTCTTCCTGCCCCAGATCCTACCCGCCCCTTCAACTCTCCGTGAACTTATTCATATGCTGATTGTATAAATAAACATGTTGCAGGGCAGGGCAGTCCTTCCCCATCAGGGGAGAGGGCTCCGCCTGACCCCAGCTTTCTACATCTTGATTCTTGTTTTCTTCATCCTCCACCGTCTTCCCTCCCGAGTTTCAGGAGCTGCACTGGACGTAGCCCAGCCCAGCAACAATCTCATTAACCAGCTTTCTCATTTTTACCAGTTTATAGAAAGTGAGTGATTTCCTCATTGCTGTTATAATTTGTCTTTTTCTGATACTAATGGGTTTAAACATACCTTCTTATGTTTATTAGTCTTTGGGGTTTGCTCCCTAGATAATTGGGTATATCATTTAGCTCTACCATTTGCCTGCTTTTCTACTGTCCTTCTTCCCTCCCTCCTTCCCTCTCTTCTTTCCTTCCTTCCTTTTTGTACTGGGGATTGAACCCAGGACCTCACACATGTTAGGCAAATGCTGTACTCCTGAGCTACATCCCCAAGCCTTTTTATTTTATTTTGAGACTATCTCAGTTGCCCAGGCTGGCCTCAAATTTACAATCCTTCTGCCTCAGCCTCCTGAGTAGCTGGTATTTTACCACAATACCTGGTTCTATCTTGTTCTTGATGATTTGTAGGAGTTCCTTGCATATTCTAAACCTGTGCTGTCCAATAGGGTAATCGCTAGCTAAATACAGCTACATAAATTAATTTATTTGGTTTCTTGAGACACGTAGTCCAGGCTGGCCTTGAACTCACTGTGTAACCCAGGCTGGCCTCGAATTCACAGTGTTCTTTCTGCCTCAGCCTCCCAAGTGCTGGGATTGCAGGCATGCATCACCAGACCCAGCTCGTAAATTTAAATTAATTAGAATCCAGGTGCTGGCTTACAGCTGCCGCGTTCTAAGAGTGCACCAGCCCTGTGGCCAGTGGCTGCCTCATTGGCCAGAGCAGGTGCAGGACACGTTGCTCACCACACACTTCTCCTGGACCAAGGTTCTAAATGTGAGTCCCTCCAAATACAGACAACTTTTCCCAGCCCACACCAGTCTTTTAGCTGTGTCTATGGGGCTCGTGGTTGAACAGAAATATTTGATGTAACCAAATCATTGTTCCTCCTACAGTATCTGGGTGTAGAGTTTTAAGTCCCCGTGTGTTTGCCCTCTGGTATTTCACTGTCCCAACACAAAATAACACACGTGTGGGAGAGGACGACCCACCCCTAATGAAATAATGGGAAATCTCAAAAGGGGGATATCAGTAATCCCACTGTGTTAGGACGGTGAAATACCGGAGGGCAGCTGCTTATGAAGAACAGGGGCTTATTTAGATCCCACTCTGGAGGCTCAAAGGCAGGGTGTGTGTGAGGCTCAGCCGGGGGAGGGTTTCCACCTCCTCTGGTGGACGCGGCGGCGAGAATGGGCCTGGGTGTGATGACTGCACTTGAGGGCAGCGAGCTGGAGGGGTGGGTGGGCTAGGACCTCAGAGAACTACTGAGGCCAAGCAGAAGCACCTGACTGTCAGGCCCCACCGCTGCCAGCTGGATGGGGTGTGCGGCTTGGCCAGCAGCTATTGGCCGCCCCCCCCCTTACGCCCCAGTGGACTGGCACAGTCTGCTCCCGGGTCCTCCCTGGCTGTCTGGCTGCCATTCTCCAATACGACTGCAGGGGCTTGGGATTTAGCTCAGCAGCAAAGTGCCTGCCTGGCAAGTGCAAGGTCGTGAGTTCGGTTCCCGGTACCAGAGAAAAACCAAAAAAAAAAACAAAAAACAAAAAACAAAAACAACACGAGTGCAGCCAGACAGGCCGCACTGCACACCTCCCAACTCCCACCTCCAGAGGGCGCCCTGGCTAGCTGCGATCAGGAAGGGGGCGGGTCTGGGCCCCTTATGTGCACCTGAACCCCCACAGCAAGGCTTCTATAAGATTCCCTGGTTTCAGCCCTGCCCCTCACTGGCCCAGGTCTGCAACTGCTAGGTAATCAGCACTCCCCAGCCACTCCTCAGGTTGTCCTGGGGGGCCCCTCCGGTGTAATGACCCCCATGTACTACCACACAGGCCCTCTTAAGATAAAGATTCACTTTGGTGTTCTTATTTTTTGGTACTGGGAATCGAACTCAGGACCTTGCGCTTGCCAGGCAGGCGCTTGTGCCACACTTTGGTGTGCTTGTAAACCTGCTTGCCAGGTTAACCAAAATGGAGATAATTGCTCTTCTTTCAAAAGACTCATTTAGATGGGCCTCCACAATCAAATTTTTATAAATTTCAACTGGAATTTGTATTGAAATTGTATTGAGTTTATAGATTAATTTGTGAGAGTTAGTGGGGGGGGCAGTTTTGGGGATCAAACCTAGGGCTTTGTTCTGCCAAGCAAGCACTCTACTGCTTAGTTACATGCACAACCAGCTCATGAGAACTGGTATTTTATAATATTAGGCAGGCCCATTCAGGAGTATGTGTGGCTCTTCATTTATTCCCACCATCCTTACTATATATCTTTTGTTGAGGTTTTAAAGTATATCCTGCCCACGGCCATACTGGTGACTCAAATCATATAGCCTGGCACACACTGTTCCACTGGGCAATACAGCGGCCCAAGTCCCGCATGTGCTTGGTTCATTCCTTCATCCTTTATGGCTTCACACGCCACACCTTGGGGATAGGTCATATTCTGGAGGAATCTCAACAGGTGATAAATCTGGCTGCAAAATAGGTGTGGAAGGAAAGCACTGGTTACCTGAGGGAAATCACACAGAAACCACACAGAATACAGCTGTGTGTTTTGTCACTTCCAGGACCAGCATCTCACCTGCTTCCCTGCCAGGATCCCACCTAGTTTTTATGTACCTTTTACCAGACTAACCTTGTCAGGGCTGGATCTGGAAATTCCTAGAGATAAGGGCATAAAGGAAATGATGTTTTTATTTGAAAATAGTCTAAATTTGTGTTGTTCCAGAGTGAACAAGCAAACCCAGGAGATTTTTGGAAAGAGTCTGGCTGTTTTCTTTTTGTTAATGTTTTTTGTGATGCTCAGAATTGAACACAGGCCCTTTGGCATACAAGGCAAGTATTCTACACTGCGCTATACTCCTGTGATATAGGGGAAATGCTAGCTGTCAGATATGCCAAGTTTGTGTTCCCTGAAGTTGGTGAATTCTAAGGAATAACAGAGGTTAATCGTGGGAAAATTTATTGGAGAAAAGGAAGGGGAAATAGGAATAGCTCCTGAGAGACAGGAGGAGTCCCAAGTGGGTTGCCAACACGTCCAATTCTCGAAGTTCCATAGAGAAAAATCATGAGGCAGGTACAACGTGGGTCAAAATCATGATCAACCAATAAGATTGCAAATATAGTCGCTTAGGTGAGATTGATCCAATGGTAGCAAGGGCATCAGGGTGACATCATTAACGCTGGTCGGGACTCCGTAGTCTTAGTCTTATCTTTGCCTTAGTCTTAGCGGTCTTAGGCTCAGTCCTAGTGGGTGGGAGAGGATGGCCCACCCCTAATGAAATAATGGGAAATCTCGAAAGGGTGATACCAATAATCCCAAACCTCCGGGTCATCCTTTAGGGAAATATATAAATCTAGCCTTTGTGATTTAACCTTCCTCAGCTGTGCCAACAGCCACAGTTGTGATGTGTTCTCATCCTCTGCACTGACTTCCTCAAGGGTCCAGCCCTGTCTGCCTACCTACAACATTTCTACTTAACTTAGCTGTCTATAAAATTGGCAGCCTGGTTGTCCTCCAGAGGATGTCTTCTGGCCGCTGCTTCCAGTCAGTGCAGTGAATTAGATCCAGAGAGCTGTTTAGTGACTGTCCCCCAGGACACATGGTCTGGCCTGCAGCGACTGGCAGTCCCCAGCCCACCCGGTAGTCTCACCTGCCGGCCCTGGGCACCCCTGCTTACTCACCCAGAAAGCATGAGAGTGCATACATTCTCTTGGCCCCTGTGCGGACTCGTATCTACAGATTCAGTTGCAGACCCGGCACTCCTCCATCCTCCAAGACCTCCTCTATGGCCTGAATGTGGCTAGGGCTCTAGGTCACCATGTGTGCCACACTGCAAGTCATCTGTTCTCCTCTGGGGGTGGGGCCTCCCAGATTCAGAAACTGAGATGCAGTGTGACACTAGAGGACATTTACCAGTGGAGATGCTGAGGCAGGAGGTTAGGGCGTGGGAGGCTGGCTGGGAAAGTAGGTGTGACCTGTCAATCATGGAGATCCAGGACATCTGCAGAAAAACTTCCTGTGCTCTGCACCTGGGATCAGAGCGCTGGCTTCATTTCTTCTGGAGAGAACTCAAGCAGGTGTTTGATAGGATGGTCTGGATCTGACCTCAGCCTGAGGAGTGGAGATACAAAGGACAACAGACCCTCTTTTCGGCTCACTCTGCAGAGCATGTTTCTTTTTCCTTGTTTTTTTTTGTCTTTTTGAGATAAAGTTTCACTATGGAGTTCAGGCCAGCCTTGAACTCATTTTGTAGCCCAGGCTGTGCTCAAACTTGCAACGATCCTCCTGCCTCAGCCTCCCGAGTGCTGGGATTACAGCTATGTGCCACCATGCCTGGCCTTGCAGAACATATTTCTTTTCTACCCTTAATACCTTTAATGAATGTAAAACCCCATTACCTCTTCCAATGGCCTTGATCAATTCTTGTTCAGGACAACAAGAACCTAGAAACCAAATGTAGAAAGAGACCGAGCCCAGGGCCCCGCTCACAATGCCACGAGGGGAGAGAGCTGGAGGTGGCGGGGGTGGGGAACTGCAGATGTCTGGGAGAGGAGGAAGGAAGGAGACCTGGACAGGAAGAGGCTGGGACCCCTGGGAAAGGTTTAGCTGGAGTCCTGCACCCCACAAATTCAGTCCTGCCCTGGACCGAACCCCCCACAAAGATCTCCGTCATGGCTCAGGAATGGTCCCTGGCCCCTCTCCAGGGCCTGCTGGTAGGCTTGCTCAGGTGGGAGTTTCCTGAACAGCTCAGCGGCAGGAGCCTCCCTGTGAGTGCCTGGGGACAGGGCAAGGGAACGGTCCCCTAAGGGAGAGAGGCATGAGGGCTGCGTGTGTGAGGAGGGGCCCGGTGACACGGCCTCTGGGCAGGGCTTGTCCCACTGAGGTCTCCCCCAGGTACGCCAGCAGGAAGCTGGTCTGGAAGTCACTCTGACAAAGGAATTGTCCCCTGTGTGCAGGAAAGCCCCTGCCCAGGCCCTGGATCCAGCCCAGGCCGGCTTCCTGCCTGCACAAGCGCCCCCGATCCTTGGTGCGGTTTCACTTTCTCTTCAGCACTGTGTCCTCATGACCATGCCTCGGGCTTCCGGCCTGCTCTGAGCTGGGGCCTCCCGTCACAGCTGCTGACAGGCTGCAGACTTCTGGGCAAGTGAAACTTAGCCAGCACCTCAGCCACAGAGGGGTGGCTGGGGTGAAAGGGGCACCTGCTGTGCCTTCTTCCTCAGGGTCCCTCGAAATCAGGTGGACAGCACCGCCCCCACTGCCCGCCCTCCAGCCCACCTGGGCTACTTCCTGCTCCTTTGCTGTGGCCCCCTGGACCTCCTCCGTGCTCACCTGTGCTGCACCCACCCCTCAAGACCGCTTCGCATGTCACCCCTCTTCCAGCTCCTCTCGTTCCCCAGTCAGTTTAGCATGCCTCTTCCAGCACTTTACTCAGAATACTATTGATACTTTTTTGAGAGATAACTGACATAATATTCATCTTTGTTAAATGTGCCAAGCCAGGCATGGTGGTGCATGCCTGTGATCCCAGCACTCAGGAGGCTGAGGCAGGAGGATTGCCGTGAGTTCACAGCCAGTCTACATTACATAGCAAGACCCTGTCTCAAAAAAACAAAAATAAATATAAATGTACCAATTCAGTGGTGGTGGGGGGGTGTGTTCTCAAAGTTGTGCGGCTACCAGCACAATTTTAGCACAAGTTTAGAATGTTTTCCTCTCCCCAGCCTGAAGCCCCACCCGCTAAGTTGTTATTCCCCGTGCTTGCCTCTTCCCAGCCCTTGGCACGCACTAATCTATTTCCTGTCCGTGGATTCCAGTTCTGGACATTGCATGTGAGTGGAATCATGTGATTCACAGCCTTGTGTGACTGCTTCCTCTCTCAGCATAACTTTCCCAAGGTCCATCCTGCTGGAGCGTGCAGTCGGTACTTCGTGGAGTGTGTCTGGCACTGGGGATTGAGCCTAGAGCCCCCGCATAGCGAGGCAAGCACTCTACCACTCAACTACACCCCTAGCCCTTTAAATTTTTTTTATTTTGAAATACGGTCTCACTAAGTTGCCTGAGCTGGCCTCAAACTTGTGATCCTCCTGCCTCAGCCTCCTTAGTAACTGGGATTATAAGTGTGGGTCACCTTGCTCAGCTGGTTTCACACTTTTTTTCTTGGCCTTAAGGATTGAACTCAAGGCCTCTGCACTGAGCTACATCTCCCTCCCTCTTTCTTTTGTTCTTTCTTTCTTTCCTCCTTCCTTCCTTTCTTCTTCCCATCCCTCTCTGTCTCTGTCTATCTCCCCCTCCCGCTCAATTTTGACAGTGTCCTGCTAAGACATTAAATTGCCGGGGCTTCATCCTACCAGAGTGCAGGGGTTACAGGCAGCACCGCCACACCTCCTCATACCTGTGTACCGCCCAATAGCATTCCATTGCCGCGAACACTGCATCTTGTTACCCACTCATCAACAAACGGACATTTGGGTGATGAACAATTCCGTGCACATTCGTGTATAAGTTCTGTGCAGATATGTGGTTTCAGTTCTCCTGGTATAATTGCTGTGCTATATGATGCTCTATATTTAACTTTTTGAGAAATCACCAGACTGTTTCCCAAAGCCAATATGTTTGTTTCTTAACTAGTATGCAAACTTGTTCTCATCGTAAGAAAAAACAGTCCAAACATTGCCATAAAATCACACATCTGATCATTTCTACCCTCCTGGGTCCCTTCCCAGTTCCCCTCTTACCCCCAGCCCTCTGCTATGCACTTACCAGCACACACACATTATTTTATGTATCTTTATATCATGACCTTTACTGTATACTACATTCTCTTTTGTCAGAAAGACAGTGGTAACTCATGTCTTGTAGGGCCGGGGATACAGCTCAGTGGCACACGTGTCTGCCTGGCAAGTGCAAGGTCCTGAGTTCAATTCCCGGTACAAAAAGAAAAAAAAAAACCAACTCATGTCTTGTAACCTCATGACACAAACTTCCACAACACAGACAGACCACAGGCGGTCTATCTATCAGTGAGCGTGTTGGTTAGGGTTCTCTAGAGGAACAGAATCAAAACAGTATGTACAGATATACAGTGTATGATAAAACTATGATATATGGCTGGGTGTGATGATGCACGTCTGTAATCCCAGCACTCAGAACACTGAGGCAGGAGGATCGTTGCGAGTTCGAGGCCAGCCTGGGCTACAAAGTGAGCTCAAGGCCAGCCTGAACTGCATAGCTAGACCCTGTCTCCAAAAAAAAAAAAAATACCCCCCCTGGGTTCGAACACTTATCCCATTATTCTCGCCACTTTGTGCAGCAGTTCCCGGAAGTCCTCTTTCATGTCTTTAGCTGAACTGTTGTGACTTCCTTGATGTCCTGAATTGATTCAAAACATTGATCTTTCGTGGACAGGCCTGTCTGGGTTTTGAAAAGACATTTAAAAAGCCAGGCATGGCTGGGGATTTAGCTCAGCGGCAAAAGCGCCTGCCTGGCAAGCGCAAGGTCGTGAGTTCGGTTCCCGGTACCGGAGAAAAACCAAAAAAAAAAAAAAGTTACTTAAAAAGCCAGGCATATGGTGCACGCCTGTAATCCCAGTGGTCTGGGAGGCTGAGGCAGGAGAATCAGAAGTTCAAGGCCAACCTGCACCTCTTAGTGACTTAGCAAAATCCTGTCCAAAAAAAAAAAAAAAAAAAGGCGTGTAGCTTAGCGAAAAGGTCCTGGTTTCAATCTCCATTATCACGCACATACCAAAAAAAAAGGCTGAAAAATTTATTGGGGATGTAGCTGAATGTAAAGTAGTTGCTTAGCATTACAGAAGCCCTGGATCCCTTCCCAGCACTGCAAAAAAAAAAAAAAGAAAAGAAAAAGAAAAAGAAAAACTGAGACTCGCAGAAGTGCCCAGGGCTAGAGCCCTGGAGGGTGGCAGGACTTCTACTGCAGAGGAAGGTATTCTAGTGTCACCTGAGGCAACACCCTGACCCACAGGATGGCCAGGGGTGGGCAGAGAGGCCATCTGTGGGAGGCACCATCATTACAATTTTGACCAGAACAGGTCTGAGCTATTCCGAGCTATTTGCTCCCTGGAGCAGGGAGCAGCAGCAAAGTCACAGGTGCTTCGTCCCCTGCCGCCAGCACCTCCAGAGGTGAGCTCTCAAGTCACCTCCTGCCTTCGCCAGGCAGGTCCCCAAAAGCCAGCGTGGGTGACACCCAGGGGCGGGGACTGTGGAGCTGCTCCCAGCACTGCTCAGCTGGACAGAGACATTCACCCAAGTGCTCAGGGCCCAGCCTGTCCACCACACGTCCAGGGTGGCCCGGGAGGGCAGAATGGCTTGTCCCCGACTGCCCCAGCGTCAGAGCCAGTCCAGAGCTCCCCTCCTTCCCAGTGGACACAGTGGACACAAGCTATACCGAAAAATTCCCAGAACACAAACTTTATTTTGATAGCTCAGAAATCAGCGTAACTGTGTGCGTCTGCCTGTGGAATTATCTTCAAACAATGCGGGATGTCACTGGACCCCACCCGACCCTGGGCGGCAGCTGCAGATTACTTTACGGGGCCCACGTTCCACCTCCCCGCCTCCTTCCTCTGTCCTCAGCACCCGGGCTGCAGGGAGACTTGTCACCTCCTCAGCGGTGACATGAGCGACCAGGACTCTGGGCTGGAAGCCAGCGCCCAGTTGGGGGTGATCAGGTGTGGGCAGAAAGAGGCTTCCTCTGGCCGCTGTGTCCCCTGCTGGGAAGCAGCACGAAAGCAGTCATCTCTGTCCCCCTCTGGCTGCTGCCAGGCTTTCTGGCCATCCAGGAAGCCAGCAGGGCCACACCTCTGTCCTCTGTCCTCTGTCCTCAGGGCCAGGCCCAAGCCAGGCCCACCTGCCGCCCAGCAGGAAGCCTGCTCCTCTCAGGAGCCTCCTCCAGTCCTCGGTGGCTGCACTGCTGCCACCCCCTCGATCTGCCAGCGGCACATGGGGCACTTCGCAGTGTCCTCGAAGACGCGCCAGGCGCAGGCGCTGCAGAAGTGTGGGTGGCCGCAGGGGACAAAGCGGGTGTCGGCAGCGTGGTGGAAGCAGATGATGCACTCCTCCCCCGGCGGGGCTGGGAAGGGAGACGGACAAGGTTGGGGACCCTGCGCTTCTTGTTCCGGGCCTGACCCCAGCACCCCAAGACAGAGAAGCGCAGGGCACCCTGGGAGGACACAGTTACCGTGTCAGCAAGAGACAGAACCTGGGAAGAAGCCATAAAGGGTACGCAGGGGCCCTGTCCCAGCAAAGGTTGGCTTTCCATGGTTTCAGTTGCCATGGAAACAGTGCATGGAAAATTCTAGGGGGCAAAATCACGAATTTCAAATAACTTTCTACAGGACACTGTCACAACTGTCCTATTAGTAGTTATTCTTGATCTCTTCATATGCCCAATTTACAAATGAGGAAAGCCCACAGTACTTGGGACAATCCAGTTTCAGGTAGTGGTGGGACTTCTTGGAACATATCCTCTGAGGATAAAAGGGAAGATCGTACAAAATATGTAAATATACTTATAATAAAATTACAATTCAGATAAAAGGGATGTGAGGCCCAAACACTTCCCCATATACACTTGCACTAAGGAATGCTCAGAGGAAGTCCACCCAAGAATGGGTGATTTTCAAACAATTCTTGTGTATCCCTTAATCTTATTTGGCAAAGCTTTAAAATGAATGTGGAGATGGGCATGGTGGTGCACACCTATATTCCTGCACTTGGGAAGCCGAGGCAGGAGGACTGGTGCAAGTTTGAGGCCAGCCTGGGCTACACAGTGAGTTCAAGACCAGCCTGACCTAGAGAAATCCAGTCTCGAAACACTAAAAATAAATAAATAAATAAAATGAATATAGATTTCCTTCTTAAAGCAAAAACAAAATGCTGCTTGTTCAATCACTGGGATTGAACCTACTATATTCACATTGAGCTGCAATTCCCCCCCACCACCTCATTTAAAAAATTTTTGAGATAGGATCTCCCTAAGTTGCCCAGGCTGGGCCCAAACTTGCAATCCTCCTGCCTCAGCCTCCCAGAGTGCTGGCATTAGAGGCATATGCCGCCACACCCTGCTGTGAACATGCGTTTAGAATTTGTAAAGTTGGTCAGTGTTGTAGGAGGCACAACTGCTTTTAGGTTTCTAGGGGGCAGAATCAAGTCTGGCTCAAAGCCTGGGAGACTCGCTGAGGGGTGAGGAAAGCCCTGACTTTAAGCAACCTGAACCTCACTCCCAGGGCTGGAGCCCAGGGACGCACTCACCTTTGGGGTCCGGCTGTGCTTCCTCGCTGGGGATGCCCAGGGTGGCCGAGGTGCACGGGCTGGCTCCGGAGTCTGAGACAGAGGAGGGAGTCAGGGCCCTGGCCAGCAGCCCAGAGGTCCACCCTTCCTTCCCTGGGGGACAGTGCTGGGGGCCGGGGGGTTTTAGACGCTGTCCTGGTCCAGCTGAGAATCTAAGGGGCTGCAGTCTTCCTCCCAACCCTCTTTCCTCAAGCCCCTCCTCCCCTTCCCTTTCACTGCACAAAGAGGACTCCCACACGCAGAGGATCCCCCATGGGTTGGGGACAGCACAGCCCCCCACCCAGCCCACTTAGTGGACCCGATGCTCTAGGGCTGAGGCCCCGCAGCTACAGTGAATTATTTTATTTTACAAGCAAATTCATTTGGTGTGGGGATTGCTCAGGCACCCAGGAAAATGCCAGTATTTCTTTCCGCGGGTGTTCCTGTCTCTCCACGCTCCAGGAAACACATCAGCCTCTGGCTTGGCTAGCCTGTGCACCTCGCCTGGGAAAACCCCAGCCCTCACACTTAAATTTCCTTGGCTGGCCACCTTTGGCTCTGGTGAACTCTTACTTCCCCTGCAAAACCCTGCCCAAATGCTTCCTCCTTCGTGGAACGTGAACCTTTTAACAGATGTTTGGAGTGCTGGTCCTATTCTCTTGTCATTCCTTAGGGATAAGGCTACCCTCCCTATAGCTGGGGCTTGCTCATCCTTAGGCTGGCCCTGGGTAAGGCCTGATGGAATAGCTGAAATACGAACACATGGGCGGCTCTGCCTCTGTCGCCCTCCCGGGCCTCACCCAGCAGCTCGATGGCCTTGGTGGTCCCGTACACGTCCATTACGGCCCAGAGCGGGGAGCCCAGCAGCACGTCCCTGCGCAGCAGCAGCGGGCGCCCTGCATTGACCTTGGCGAAGAGCCAGCCGCGGTGGTTCACCCAGAAGCAGACCACGTTGCCAGCGCGCACGCAGCTCTCCGGGAGCACGGCCGCCCACGTCGGGCTCTGCGCCTCCAGGTCGGGGCACACGAAGGGCGGCAGGCCGGGCGCCG